ATATATACTATATTATACATGAATTTGGGAATAATATAAAGCACTTACTGCTCGTTTAAAGATAAAAAGTGAGCGTGAACGCTTTTTTTGAAAGACGGTTTAGTCGGTAGTCTCTTAATGGCATCAGGAAGCGCGTTCCAGAGTCGCCAAGAATGTAGGAGAATCATGTCTAATTTATCGTTGAATTCGTCACGATGGGCTAACTGACCTGCCTTTTCATCCTCACCTATCACCTCTCACTGGTACCCCGCCAGTGTATACCGATAGCGCAGGCGGGGTTACCATGTCATTTTCACCCATTACCTTATCTACCTTACCATACTTTGTACTGTGTATTGTATTGTGTAGTGCGGTGCTTTTCGAGAGTTGTATTTTTTATTTTATTTTTGGTATTTTTTTTTTTATATGAAAAAATATTTATTTTAAACCCCATTAATGTAAAACTAGTTTTAAAGCATAGACTTCATTATTTAACTCACTGTATATGTAATTTTTCGTAAGGTGTCTTAAGAGGCGACTAAGGGAGAGCGAGGGATGGGCAGCGGCGTTCCTCTTAAAATATCTCTAAAGCCTAACTGCGGTTGCCAATCCGTCTGCCAAGCGTGACAACTACTGGCAAAACTAACCCCCCAAGAGGGAGGTTTATGAATGAATGAGTATACTTTATTTGCATTATACAATATAGGAAATAAGCATGACAATTTACAAACTCAACGATACATTTGTATAAGTACAGTGAGGCGGTCTTATTGCTGAGAGCAATCTTTATGTTGAGCAGTGGATAGTTAAAGTCTGATATGATAAAGATGATATGTAATTTAATAAAACAGACTCCTAATTGACACGTGGATCCTAGTACTCTTCGGCCTACGCCACCCCTGGACGCCACTCCACCTTGCCCTAATCACACCCGTCCCCCTTTGAGATAGGCAGATAAAATAAAACGTCGAATTCTCCGATTCGGACAGATAGCTGGATTATCAGATATACCTGTGTTAAAACAATAGAAGGCTACCACAAAAAATGGGTGTCTTCCTTAGTTGGATGGTGGGATGTCCATATAAGTGCTAGGCTATATCACGCTGTCGTGTTACGTACTCAAGAGTAGGTAGCCGATTACGTCATCAATTCATGTAATCATTCACATATGTAATACGTGATTACTACGAACCATTGTGATGACAATAAATAATTATATGTAGTATAATTATATATATATATATATATAATGACAAGTGAAAATATAGTTATATATATATATATATATATATATATATATATGTTTCCAAGTGGAGGTCGACCTGACGGGGTATATATATATATATATAACAACTTTTAAATCTGCTGCAGGGTTCGGACGGTTGTTATCTGTTGAGAAGAGCGTAAGAAATTCAAGAGTGACTCTTTATATATATATATATATATATATATATATATATATATATATATATATATATATATATATATATTCCGTTCTCGTAAAAGGATATCTCTGTCAATCCAACGCGGAAATGCCGCAAGTGTCATGGGGACCTTTGGGTCGGGTACGGATCATGAATACGACTGATTTTTTTTTTTTTGTGTATAAAACTTGTTTACGTGTAAATGATTATATTATAAATGTATTATTTATTTATTGACTATCTTGTATTTGCTTGTTAGCAAAGGCCTCCTCCAACTGCCTCCAAATGGGTCTCTATTGCTAACGATTCTCGTCCAAACTTCACCTGCTTCAGCCCTAATGTAATCCACCCATCTTCTATGTACCTAGTCTTCCTCTTACCATTTTCTTGACTTTTGTGTATCAAAAATTAAAGCGATAGAAGGTAACAAACTAATATACATAATAGGTATTTTTATTTATTTATTTATTTTATTTACACATACACTAAACAAACTTTTCATTTAAATAATATCATTAGTTAGATTTTTTTTTATACAACTTAGAATGGCAAACAAGCTGACGGTCCACCTGATAGAAAGTGGTAACCGTCGCCTATAGACATGAGCAGTACCATGGACATAACAGAGTATACTGTTTCGCCCATGATACCCCCATGCGTTGCCATTCCTGAGGACTCAGGTGTTATTCCTCTGTACCCAATAAATTCACGCCATATCCCACCCTTCAAACCGAAACACAGCCATGCAAACACAACTGCTTCACGGTTGAAACACGAATGGGACAAAAGTACCCAAGCAAACGACTTTTGTACAAAATCTCCCTCACTTTTTAATAAAATAATATAAATTATAAATGTTACATTTGTCATTATGACAAAACAACATAATAATGAAGATTACACAATTATATGATAACACTAGCGGCCCGTCCCGGCGTCGCACGGGTGGACATTTTTACATTTTAAAAAGTGGCCATTAAGGCTGCACACGCGACGGACATTTCCTTTCACTGCTCTACTCCTATTGATCGTAGCGTGATGAAAAGTATACTGTAACCTGCCCAGGTGTATGAAGAATAATTGTACCAAGTTTCGTTAAAATCCGTCGAGTAGTTTTTGTTTCTATAACGAACATACAGACAGACAAAAATTTTACTAATTGCATTTTTGGCATCAGTATCGATCACTAATCACCGCCTGATAGTTATTTTGGAAATATATTTCATGTACAGAATTGATCTCTGTACAGATTTATTATAAGTATAGATTACTGTTTTACTTTAAAATTAGAATAAAAATTAAAAAAAAAATATTTCTATTATGGCCATTCTAGAAGTGGATATTTCTTCACCGCTTCACTCGACTATGAGTCACATAGTAACAAACAATTGTCCCTACACATGGTGTGCACAGTGATGCATAATTCATCATTTACCTTATGACCTTTACGCGACATTAGATGTTCACGCAGTAATGGGCCGGGAAAGGCCTAATTTACCAACTTCAAAAAAGGAGCTTTTATGTTAGACTGTATATTTTTTTTTACGTAGAATAGAATAGAAAATATTTATTGTCCGAAAAACACAATTACAATATAAAAGACATATATATAGGAAATGTCAAATTTTTTTTAATGGGTGAATATGGAATGGTAACCCCGCCCGCGCTATCGGTATACACCGACGGGGCACCCATGGAAGATGCTAGGTGGGAATGAATGCAGGTCAGTTGGCCCACTATGATGAATTCGACAAAAATTAACCATGTTGGTTTACAGGGGTAACCGCGTGGAGGTCTACCTGAGTGGATACTAGCAATTAGCATATTAGACCTCATTACTAGCAGTCCCTTTCCCCCCAGTATCTCATATTAGGCAAAAGGAACCGGCTCAGCTGATGCTGTGAGTGTCCCAGTGCAATGTGCACTGCACAGCGCTGGTTTTCAGCCAGTCCCTCTCTTAACAAAATACAACTAAAATGCAATTCGTCAATAGTGCATCGATTTTTGATCATCTCTCTCCATCTCCATCTATATTTTGATTCAATCAAACTTAATAAATAAATAAAATGAACTTTTTTACTTCTGGTATACTGGTATACCCATAGCTGTGTTTCGGTTTGAAGGGTGGGATATGGCGTGAATTTACAGGGTACAGAGGAATAACACCTGAGTCCTCAGGAATGGCAACGCATGGGGGGTATCATGGGCGAAACAGTACACTCTGTTATGTCCATGGTACAGCTCATTTCTATAGGCGACGGTTACCACTTTCCATCAGGTAGGCCGTCAGCTTGTTTGCCATTCTAAGTTGTATAAAAAAAAAAAATATAAATAAAATCATAGATCCACGTGCTAAAAGGATGTTACAATTGTTGTAAATTATTCTCAGATAATAGAAGACACTGTTAGACCGAGATAGAAATATAAAAGAACAGAGAGGGCGACAACTAGTTTCTTTGTTTAAAAAATTGTCACAATATTGTACAGTGCTGTGTCCGCTGACATTAATGCTCCTTTCCACTTTGGGTGTTGCTGGAGGAGAACTCTATTAGAGTTAAGCTCGCCTTTGTACATTTGATTACGTCTGATATATTCTTATAAATAACTGGTGTGTACAATAAGGAATTAAATAAAACACTTGTACATTATTTACTTAGTGTCGCTTTGCGCGCAAAACATATTTAATACTTCCGTGAGTCACCGTATATCATTTTCAATTGACGGATTGATGAATTCAGTATCCTGCTGACTGTATTTTATGACGCATTAGGTTTATCCCATAATATCCCACGGAGTTGGATCGTTATATAAATTGTTCAATTACGTATTGTGCAGTTCGTAATGTATGATAATGGAATGGTAACCGCATCTGCGTTATTGGTGTACGCTGACGGGACACCGGTGAGGGATGATAGGTGAAGATGAAAGCAGGTCAGTTAGCCCATCGTGATGAATTTAACGATAAATTAGTCACGATAGTTTCTAGAGGGAACCGCGTGGAGGTCGACCTGATAGCGTATATTGATAGCAATAGGGTCTAACCTCCCCATTACTAACAATCCCTTCCCCCCTGAAAGTAGGTTAGTTGGGCCATTGTAATGGATTCAACAAGAAATAATCACGATGGTTTATCAGTGGGAACCGAGTGGAAGTCGAACTAACAGGGTATATTGGGGGGAAGGGATTGTTAATAATGCGGATTATCAGTCCCATTGCTAACAATATACCCTAACAGGTCGACCTTCCCGTGGAAACCATCGTGCTGAATTCCAAGTGTGTTTATCACGATGGGCTAACTGACCTGCCTCTTCATCCTCACCTATCATCCCTCACTGGTGCCCCGCCAGCGTATACCGTTAGCGCAGGCGGGGTTACCATTCCATTATCATTAATTAAAAAAAAAACAGGGTATATTGCTAATAATGGTGATTAACGTCCTCATTACTTCTTATTAGAATATGTCCCCATACTTATTTAATTAGAATTATTTTGTTTAATTACGCTACCTCTATATTTCAGTAAAATCTCCTATTTCAGTAAAATCTTGCTAAAAAGCTAAGTTCCATAAAAAAAATCTATTGTATTTTCTGTTTCCAGTTGGTATTTCCGTGACATGTCCCGAGCTGAGGCGTCCAAATTGCTGCTCAGCGAAGTGGAGAGCGGTGTGTTCCTCGTGAGAGACTCCAAGACAATACAGGGCGATTATGTGCTGTGTGTCAGGTGGGTTTGACTTCTTGAACTTATTGAACCTTCACCTTCGTTTTGGCCAATATTATGACCATTGCTGTAGTTGTTTTTTTTTTTCTTAAATTATAGCCAATGTTGTGGTGTTACCTCTAGGTGGTTGCATAGATTCATTTTAAAATTACGTTTGTATAAGCAAAGTGGCGACTCTTAAATAACGTAGAAGTGATTGCTTACCCTGTGACCTGTAAGGTTTTTTTTTTATGCAACGTAGAAAAGCAAAAGAATTGATGACGAGTAGAGAGTGATAACTGTCGTCTAGAAGGAGATTGTTAGTGATGGGAACTGAGAATCCCATTGCTAGCAATATACTCAACTAGGGCGACCTCCTCGCGGTTCCCCTGGAAACTATCATGGTTAATTCCTGATGAATTCCTCATGATGGGCTAACTGGCCTGTTTTCATTCTCATCTATCACCCTACACTGGTGCTCCGCCAGCGTATCCCGTTAGCACAGGCGTTACCATTCCATTCTCACCCATAAAAAAAAACTGTCGTCTAGAGACATGAACAGCTCTTGTGATATCTTGGGATTTCATTGCCATATATATCACTCTGTAAAGAGATCATGTGAGCATAGGTATTTCACGTACAGACTCTGATACGTTTATAAATGTAAATATTTCTCGAATTGTACAGAGAGGACGGCCGCGTGTCCCACTACATAATCAACCGGATCACGTCCAACGACGGCGTGACCCGGTACCGGATCGGGAACCAGGTGTTCGCGGACATGCCGGCGCTGCTGTCGTTCTACCGGCACCACTACCTGGACACGACGCCGCTGGTGCGACCGCTGCCGCAGGCGCCGGCTCGCGCTGCCGCTCCACCGTCGCACTCTTTCCAAGTGCTCGAGCTCGTCATAGCCAAATTCGACTTTGATGGCAACGTGAGTATAATGATATTGCAGTATGTATGTATGTTACTGTTTGTGATTATCTTGCACACTGCCTCAGAGGATAGGGAACAACAATAAATGCCCCACAATGATAACAATTCGCCCTGTGGCCCCATTACAGAATAGGATACCCCATCCTCCCCCGTGGGTGCCGTGAGAGGCAACTAAAGGAACTTGGGATGGCAGCTTTCTATTTTTAAATATCACCAAATCGTAACTGCGATTGCCAGGGGGAAAGGGATTGTCAGTAATGCGGACTAACAGTCCCATTGCTAGCAATATACCCTGTCAGGTCGACCCCCACGTGGTCCCCGCTGGAAACCATTATGGTTAATTCTAGTTAAATTTGTCAGGATGGGCTAACTGACTTTCTTTCATCTTCATCTGTCACCTCTCACTGGTGCCTCGCCAGTGTATACCGATAGCGCAGGCGGGGACACCATACCATTATCACCCAATAAAAAAATAAATAAAAAAAAGTTACACAAAAGAATATTTTCTGCACAGTCGACGGACGTTTCGTATAAACCATAAATATTCTCATTTCGAAAGAAAATTAGGCTGATCTAATTTAAGACATGGTGAACCATCAGTGACGTCCCGATGAGTAACGTGCCGTATGATTATGTTCCCATAACTCGCGACTGTGCCAAAATAGTACCGGCGTTGAAACATTACAATTAGTCGACTAACGTTAGAAACGAATTGTAAAGCAAAGCGAACTTTGTCTGTGTTGGTTATAGGAAAAAAAACCTTATTATGTTTATCTATGGTATAATATGATCCCGTTAGCCGGGTATGTCGCGGCATAGAATAGGCCACCCCTTCCGTTCCCGTGGGTGTCGTTAGAGACTAAAGGAGGGGAAGGAATGGGTAGCAGCGTCCCTCTTAAAACATATCCAAAGTCTCAATTATTGAACAAAGCCTATTACGCACTAGACGTTTAGTTGAATGACAAACGTGCATGGTGTTAGTGGATCATGCACGGGCTTTTAACGACCATATAATTTTAGACATAATACATTTAAATAAATACACATAATGTTAACAGAGATTTAAAAGAGTAACTGTTGAGTTTCTTGCGGGCTCTTCTCAACAAACAACGACTACCCAAACCCAGTAATAAATTTAAAAAAATGACGATTTAAAAGTGCTTGTAAACAGAATTGTATTAGAATCAGAGTTCGAAAACATCCGATTTTTATAATAAATATTAAATATCCGATTTTTTATCTGATATATATTTATTTATTTATTTATTGCATTCCATAATAATTAATTAATACATAATACATAATTATTACATAAGATTTCAATTATGGACCCTATTGGGCACAGCAAGTAGGAGAGAGGAGGACAACACTTTTTTCACTTTCGAAATAGTATAAATATAAGTACGTATTTTCTTATTATTATTATTATTCATTATTTAAGTATCGGTGTGTATCTATTCATATCGTAATTGTTATTAGTATTATATAGTTATTTAATATATTCTCTAGTTTATAATTATTTATATTCACATTGTAAAATTTATTAATAAATAGTTTAATAATAAAATTTCAGCAATGTCAGTTTTAGCTATGTCTTGAATCATTATCAATTCATAATTAGTTATTTATTTATAAATTACAAGATAAATTCTATATCGGGATATATAACTGATATATCCGATATATATCACGGCTAAGATAAAGAAGCGAATTTCATTCTGTAAGGGGATTACACGTTTAAAAATGTGAAAGGAATTTGTAAAATAAAATAAATATCAAATTATTACTATATTTATTATTTAAAAAAACTTTTTACAAGTAACAAAAGAATTAATTAGTGTTTATTTAAGAAATATTAAAAAAAAAATTAAAAAAAAAACAAATATCTATTATTATTTTTATGAGATTGCCGTTTTGGGAAACAATCTAAATTATTCTGAATTGTGGTTTTTCGCTATGTGTTGCCAGGGCAAACATTAATCTTCAAAATTTTTAGTTCAAAAAACAGGAAAAAAATCAATTGATATATATCGTGATATATATACGCTGATATATATTGGCGAACTCTAATTTGAATAAATAAATAAATAAATAAAATTCTAATTTGAATAAGTAAATAAATAAGTAAAATAAAGATCATTTAAAATTGAAAAGCTTCGAGGCTCGCCCGCCCCTCGTGGTCTATGGACAGTTAGCTACACCATTTATGTAAATATACGACAAATGGGAGGTTTAATGGTTGTTACGGTGTGGTAATATAAATTTTCAGGACCCGGACGATCTGCCGTTCCGCCGCGGCGAGCGTCTGATGGTGATCAACCGAGATGAGGACCAGTGGTGGACGGCGCGCAACAGCCAGGGCCGCACCGGCTCCATACCAGTACCCTACGTACAGAGGGTGAGTCAACCACGTCATCATCTCAGGCATGACTTGACTTGTAATACAGGCACCAGCTCCCACAAATAATATTGTCAAAATGTTTTGCAAGATACAAATGATTAAGTCCTTAATTGTTAGTGGTGAGAAATAATCTATCTATACTTATAATAAATCTGTAGAGAGGTCAATTCTATACATGAAATATATTTCCAAAATAACTATCAGGGGCGTGATTAGTGATCGATACTGATGCCAAAAATGCAATCAGTGAAATTTTTCTCTGTCTGTCAGTCTGTATGTTCGTTATAGAAACAAAAACTACTCGACGGATTTTAACGAAACTTGATACAATTATTCTTAGATCAGTTAGACCATATTATGTACTTACCCTTTCCTCCCACCCAATCTTTAATTATGGCGAATCTGTGTTTTTCTCTATTTGTGTGCTAAATGCGTACAAATAAATTATATCTCTATCTATCTATCTGTTTATCAGCTGCTGGACGCGTCCGGGGTGCCGTTCCCGCCTTCTGAAGCCAAGAGTCAGCTCGGCGACCCGCCCAGCCCACCCAACAACAAGCAACACACCAATATGCAGGTTAGTCAAGTCGCAAGGTAATGTGTGTTTATAATAATTCAAAATGGACTAGACATCCGGGTGGGATTCACATTTGTAGTTTTTTTAATGGATGATAATGGAATGGTAACCTCACCCGCGCTATCGGTATACACCGGCGGGGCACCAGTGAAGGATGATAGGTGAGGATGAAGCAGATCAGTTAGTCCATCGTAATAAATTCAACAAGAATTGTTCACGATGGTTTCCAGGGGGAACCACGCGGAGGTCGACCTAATAAGGCATATTGCTAGCAATGAGGCTGTCAAACTCCATTGCTAACAATCCCGCCTCACATTTGTAGTTAGAATTTTCGAAAATGATATATAGCCTAGACTACTCTCTGGTAGCATTCTATAGTTATATTAAGTAGTTTTTGAGTTTCTCTATTACAAACAAACAGTAAAATCTTTCCTCTTTATATATTAATATCGACCAACCAGCTATATATTCGGATGATTACTTGAGAACTGTCCACGCTAAAAACTTTTACTTGTTAAATGTGAAAACTAAACACTCAGACCTATGGCGTGAATTTACAGGGTACAGAGGAACATCTGAGTCCTCAGGAATGGTAACGCATGAGGGGTATCATGTGCGAAACAGTATACTCTGTTATAACCATGGTACAGGTCATGTCTATAGGCGACGGTTACCACTTTCCATCAGGTGGGCCGTCAGCTTGTTTGCCATTCTAAGTTGTTTAAAAAATAAAATGCAATACCCTTTTTTTAGATTTTATGTACGACCATTTTTCTCCGAGTTATCCTTTGTTGAATGCACTCAAAAATTTGGATTTTTTTTTTAATATCCCTTAATTTTTGCGAATTGTGTATTAAAATCTATTCATTATCTAGTATTCATAGTACAACCAGAGGGAGACTTTGTACAAAAGTCGATTCCTTGGGTACCTCTGTCCCATTCGTGTTTCTACCGTGAAACAGTTGTTTGCGTGGCTGTGTTTCGGTTTGAAGGGTGGGATATGGCGTGAATTTACAGGGTACAGATGAATAATATCTGAGTCCTCAGGAATGGTAACGCATGAGGGGTATCATGGGCGAAACAGTATACTCTGTTATGTGCATAGTACTGCTCATGTCTATAAGCGACTGTTACCGCTTTCCATCAGGTGGGCCGTCAGCTTGTTTGCCATTCTGAGATGTATAAAAAAAAAAAGCTCAAAACTAGGTGACATTGCGTAAAATGTTTAACCTAGTTTATTCAAAATAAAGCTTAACTCCCCTTTTTTTTTTTTTTATTATAATTAACTCTTCATTGCGAACAATAGAGATGTATACAAAAAGTATTTATACAGAATGTGCATATACAAAAGGCGGCCTTATCGCTAAAAGCAATCTCTTACAGACAACCTTATTATAAGGGGAATAAGAGTTTATTTTGAATACTATTTATTATTATAATATACTTTTTGTTTGCTGTATTTGTAACAATAATTGCGTGTACAGAGGACGCTGCCGGCGCTTGCGCGGGTGAGGCAGACCCGTGTGCCCAACGCGTACGACAAGACCGCGCTCAAACTCGAGGAGGGGGACATCGTCAAGGTATTTATCTATACATGGTGTCCCGTAAGTTGTGGACAAACGGGTTATGGGGGGTAGTGAGACCTATTATCTAACAAAAATACTAAAATTTATAGTCCTAGGTCTTGTAATTATTAAATTATGCTTTGTTTTCAAAATGTGGTGAAAATGTCATCCACGTAAGCTAAATATAAAATTTTACAATATTTTTTTTTTATTTTATTCTTGTTTTTTATTCAAGATAGGTTCCTAATTAAGTCTTCCTAATTAAAACGAAAAAAGTATATTGAACAACAAGGAAATTAGAATATAATTCATATGCAAACTTTACGTTTAAAAGTTTACTAACTGAATTTTTAACAAAGCTGGTGTATATATATATATATATATATATATATATATATATATATATATATATATATATATATATATATATATATATATATATATATATATATATATATACACGCCGGATCCGTTATTGTGTAGGCAGAGAGAACTGAGTATCTTATTCTTACATACATCATATGTATGTGTATTATAAAGGAGATGATTTATAAAAAAAATACCATACACCATCTAACTATATTATTTCTGTGAACCATGAACTGTCTACTGCTGAATATAAGTCTTACCTATAATGGAAGTTTTGCCAGTATTTGCCACGCTTGGCAGGCGGGTTGGTAACCAAAGTTAGGCTTTTAGTGATGTTTTAAAAGAACACTGCTGCCCATTCCTAGACCATTAATTTCCCTTAGTCGCCTCTTACGATACCCACAGAAAATACATATGTTTTTATTTAAATATATATTATTTCCTGCTTTTTAGGACATTTCAGTTAAAATTTTTTTTTTTTAAAAAATGTATTAATCGTTTTTTTGGTTAACAATCAGCTACTAAAAAAAGTTTTTAAAGTAATCTAAAGTCTTTTAAAAATAAATTTTAGATTAAATATTTTTGATTTTGAAAAAAGAATAGATGCCTCATTAAAACATATCTTTCATTGTTCTTTTTTTTTTACAGACAATATAGGTTTGGTGTACAATCAAATTATATTTCTTTATCGTACACCTGTAGATTCATAGACACTTTTCTTTATTTTTTTCAGGTGATAAAGATGAATATGAATGGCCAGTGGGAGGGGGAACTGAACGGGAAATTCGGCCACTTCCCATTCACATACGTCGAGTTCATAGACGACACTGTGACCAGTTAAACCGGGGGTAACTGTCCATAATACCTGGACAAGTACGTTATAATCAATTTACAGTTATCTATACTCAGACCAACTGCAGAATTATGGGTGAACAATTATTTGTATAAATATTGTCTATAGACAAGGGCCAAATGGAATTATTTTCACGTTGTAGATAATTGTTAAGCCACCATAACGGCAAACGACAAACGCCTCTGACTATCCCATTATGGATTATAGTCTTGAATAATTTATATATATTTTTTTTAAATAATTCATATTCTATTTTTTTTAATAGAAGAATATTTGAGGGCATACAGAAGATCGCAGACTGAGTAACTATTTTAATTTTTGTTCTTTGAAACTCTCTTCGAATTTGTCAATCACTACACGCAGTGCGGTTCGCAATGCATTTCTAAATTGTATATTTTTCAGCCGTACCAAAGTAAAACGATCTATTCGTCATTACAGTTATCAGGCCACCGATATAAAATGATACTTTTGACGTGCCATCTCTTTCTTGTGCATGCGGTAGCGTAAACGTTTAGAAATTAAATCCTTTGTCTCTTGTCTAGACTGCATTTATCAATAGTTCTTGTATGTTTTTAAACAACTACAAAAAAGAACTGAATTCGCCTTTTTTATATGTGTATATTATACATACATTACCTTCGATGTTTTTAAACTAATATTTATTTTAATTAAAAGGTTTTAGTTTACTTTGTAAGTTAGAAAACTTTAGGGACAATTTATAAAAAGGTAAATGCAATTTCCTTCTCAGAACGAGAATTTTGTACTAAAATTCCTGTGTAAATATTTATTTTCTTGAACCTTAAACGACGTGAATCATTCCGTTATATAAAATATCCCTATTATGTTAAAAAAAAATAGTGAGTTTTAACTTACAAAGTAAACATTCGAAACCTTTCAAACATCTGACGCTAAAACAAACCGTTATGTGAAAAAGATAGATAAATTATTACTATTATTATCAACTAAGTATACTCACTGAACCCAACAAATGAGAATATGAAACTCGTGAGTGGCGTTTGTCATCTGAACAATTTTGTCACTAATGTCAGTTCCATCAGGACATAGACACTCTTTATTATTTTCTCCATAAGATTACAATAGTAAACTTATTATTGATACAAACAATTACAAGAAAATATTACACTGAGAAAACAAAGGGCGACCTTATCGCTAAGAGCGATCTTTTACAGACAACCTTTGGTCATATATTTTTTATTGCACAAAGTATTATAAAGAAAAAAGATTATACGTGTAAAATTAACAGTACGGAATTGTATTTATTACTTAGAAATTAGTGTAAACAAAACACGATCCCAAAATTGAAACTTAGCGGAATTTGTCACGTTGACAAATATCACTCATGTGTGCGAGCAGTAAAACAATTTTTTTTAGGTGTCTATTTATTTCGTGTTGTTTCTAACAAGCGTGTTATTAACATCAAACTGTTCATAACTTATCCTTTATGCAACCATTTGTATGGAATAATATTTAAAGAAAAAAAAAAATGCAAAATGGTATAGTAAAAATTTTTGCACTTAGATCTATATAATTAATTCATACAAATACTAGCATTTCTAAATTATATTTTGTATTTCTAATATTGCTGTCGATATATCATAAACACGCACAAAATATGTATATTACACATTTAAATTTAATAATTTAAATAACATTACTGCGTCACGAAGGATACTGCTTTGTTCACACCATAAGATACACATGAATTTATGTAAATTTATTGCACTTAACACATATGTGGATTAACTATAACATAGGTACCTATTATTGATAGAACACCACAGATATATAATGATTATACGAAAAGATTGAAATTTGTACGAAAATAAATAACAAAAGATGCACAAAAGGTTAAATTTTTAGTTAATTTTTATAATTTTTTACTGTCATAAATAGTGATTTTATAATATTGTGTATGGTTTACATCAGAAGAGGCGAGTCGACGCGTGTACGGGCGCATTTTACTAAAAAATAAAAAATAAATTACACTATTTTTCACTGTGTTATTTAAAAATGCCTTCCGCGTGAACGACCAAGTTCCAACTTATACAAGTTTCATGCAAATATAAACTTTAATTCATTATAGAAACAATTTAATTTTCTTTGTCGTAATCTAAAATGTGCTCTCACGCTCGTAGACGTGCTGTTCCGTGTAAATCTTTGAAAAACACGTTGGTTCTAATATTTCTGCTGCACTCACGGTTGCATGTCTAATAAGCATTTTTTTATTAAATATAAATATAATTATTACTATGTACATCGAAGCTTCTTGACTGCATGAATGCTATTTAACGATTTTATACTGCAATATGGATGTAACGAGATATATATTATGTCAAGATATATACAAGACAATGTGCTGGCGATTTACGTCTGACTGGAGACAAATTGAAATAAATATATTTTGCAAATATATATATATATATATATATATATATATATATATATATATATATATATATATATATATAAGAATATATATATATATATACTGCCTATATTCAACAGTGGACAGTTTGTAATAGATAGACTCAAAAGTTACTCAATCGTTTTTGATATTTTTTTCATTTACAGCAAGCTGTATTGAGATTCCTATGAAAATTGTAATAATACAATGAACGCTCTATATTAGTAATTCATTTGAATCGATTTCAATAAAAAAAAAATCTTATTGGGAAAACTTGCTTATAGGGGAAAAAGGAGTAAAAAAATATTTGCCGTCCGGAAAATATTTTTATTTATTTCTTTTACTAACTAAGCTGAGTAGAAAAAATATAAACATAAAGAATGTTGCTTATAGAAAGGTTGCTTATACAGAGCGTTCACTGTACAACCCAAGGTATCAAAAAGTTACTTATTAAAGCTAGTATATATATTTTTTTGTTTTTATAAATGAACGAGTTAAAAACTAACTTAAAAAAAAATAATAAAATGTCTATGAACGTAATCTGGTCAGACGTAATTTCCGTTCCAATTTGCACTTCATTGTATACTTTATTTTTGTCTATTTCATAGACATTTTCGTTATTTATTTAATTGAACTGTACAACAAAGATTGTTTGGGATACCAAGTAAAAATCAGTTTTAATAACAATGCATTATTGATGCAATTACTTTGATTCTTCTCTTTTCTTATTTATTTACCCATTAGTGTACAGTGAAGTGTCACTATGACGTATGAAAACGTGGTTAGTAAAACTCAATATATTGCATTTTAACTCAAGCATATAGGGATAGTCGCAAAAACATTCGAAAAATTTATACAATTATATTATTAAGATAAGTATAGCTTTTTTTTTTAATTGTTCGTTCGAGTCACAGGCAATAAAGATGCTCGTCTAGGACAGATGAAAAAAATTCTCTGCGACAATGCGTTTAATAACATGCTTGTAATAAAATTTCACGTCATATTAATTTAAAAAAAAAAGCAGCCCAAAATGAAGGTTAAATTATAAGTGTACTATATTTCTAAGTCTATACCAAGTTTTATACATGTATATGCTTTGTCCCTTTCAATCATATTGAGAATTTAGCTCGATAGAAAGGGACATAACGGTCCATCTAAAAATAGAGGCGAACTTTATACCTGTGACATCGAGCATAGAGAAATACGAAGTAATTCTTCCAAAATATTATAGTCAATGGTACCGATTCTATCATCACTAGACTAAACTAATCACCGTTATTTACTAACACTGAATGTATGTATGGAATGTATGAAACGCATTAATGGTTTAGTGTGGTGGCGTTATAGAATAGGGGCCGGTATTTTTATAATATCAGCTGGTGCAAATCGAGTATTTAGTTTAGTATTACGTGGTAAGACGGGCGACACGAGTGATATTTTGTTAAGTACAGTCGACTGTATGGACTCGGTAAAAAGTTTTAAACCATAGACAACACAAAATTGAAACGAATAAAAATGTTACTTCAATGTGTGAGAGAGACAAAAACTATTAGTATCTCTTTCCTATTCATATATGTTCAGTTAATGTGTAAGCGTAGTAGAACAACGAAAAGATAATGCGAGTCCTTTATTGGTTTCAATTTTGTCGTGCCATTTTAATTTTATAGCCGTTTTCTTTTTACCATATAGTCTATCGATGTGATAATATTATTTTTATAGAATGAAATTGGAATAGAAACTCGATAGGTGTTAGTTTACGCTGATGGGATACCGGGGAGGGATGATATGTGAATATTAACTATGGTCAGCAGGACTATCGTGACGAATTCGCTTGGAATTCACCGTGATAGGTTCCAATTCTAAATCCGTGATGGGACCGCGTGACGGTCAATTCCATAGAGTATATTTCCGTTATTAACAATCCCTTCCCCTTAATAATATTATTTAATTAGGTACGATAACGGAGTTTTATATTGATTCCTGTTTCCATTTTGTCGACTTTAGAGTAAGCAGGTAAAAAAAAATATTAGGTGCAATTGACGGCATATAATTTGAACACAACCATAGACAAGTCGACGCAGTAAAATCTTTTTCATCTAAAATTCTTAATGTGTAAAATTTAAACGGTATTAAAAATGTTCAATTTATTTGCCAATGTTATAAAGGTCTCATGGTAAATTATTTAATATTAATTATTAAGTAAATACAATTAGGTGTCATTTTAATCGTCGCCATATTGTTGCGAGTGTATTTATCTTTGTCTATTGAATTTGATTTTATGTTTGGAACTTAACAGAATATCACTCTTTGCCGAAATATGCGAAGTATTGATATAATATTATTATAAGCCGCTCCTAATTATAATTATAAAGGTCGGGGGTGGTAATACCAAATGTTTTAACGCTGTATAGAATCACTCTAAAATATATTTTGAGATTACGTGTCATATAATATTATATGTATAGTACACTATAAGTCATAAAGTTTCGTCAATTTTTTTTTTTTTTATTAAGTTATCAATAATGGTTTAGTAATAAACTTTAGGAAGAAATATAATCGTTTGTATTTATTTAATAAACCTTGTTTTCTTGCTGCATACAATAGAGATATTTATAGCAGGAGTTTTTTTTTTTTTACGAATGATAATGGAATAGTTACCTCGCCTATGCTATCGGTATACGCTGGCGGGACCCCAGTGATAGATGACAGGTGAGGATGAAAGCAGGTCAGTTAGCCCATCGTGATGAATTTCACAAGAATTAACCACGATCGTTTCCAGGGGGAACCACGTGGCGGTCGACCTGATAGGATATATTGTTAGTAATGGGGCTGTTAGATCCCATTATTAACAATCCCTTCCCCCCTTATATCAAGAATGGCCAGAAGATCTAACGAATCGACCGCGAAGCCAATTCAATACCTATAAATGAAACAGTGCGGTACTCTCAAATATAGAGGATAAAAGGAGATCTGTATGCAGTAATGATTTTTTTTTTTGATGGGTGAAAATGGTATGGTCACCCCGCCTGCGCTAACGGGATACGCTGGCGGAGCACCAGTGAAGGGTAATAGATGAGAATGAAAACAGGCCAGTTAGCCCATCATGATGAATTCATCAGGAATTAACCATGATAGTTTCCAGGGAGAACCGCGAGGAGGTCGACCTGGTTGGGTATATTGCTAGCAATGGGATTCTGCAGTAATGATGTAATTAGGGATCATCTGACAAACAGATTGCATTGTTATAAAAAGAGGATATAGATTGACATTTGGAACTGTTTTTTAATAAATGATAATGAAATGGTAACTCCACCTGCGCTAACGGTATACGCTGGTGGGGCACCAGTGAGGGATGACAGGTGAGAATGTAAAGGCATGTCAGATAGTCCATTGTGATTAATACACCTGGAATTAAACCCGATGGTTTCCATAGGAATCGCGTAGAGGTCCAACTGAGCGGGTATATTGCTAGCAATGTGGTTATTAGACCTCATCACTAACAATCCCTTTTCGGGGGGAAAGGGATTGTTAGCAATGGAGTTTGACAGACCCATTGCTAGCAATATGCCCTATCAGGTCGACCTCCACGCGGTTCCCCCTGGAAACCATCGTGACTAATTTATCATTGAATTCGTCACGATGGGCTAACTGATCTGCATTTTCATCCTCATCATTCATCTCTCACTGGTGCCCCGCCAGTGTATACCGATAGTGCGGGTGAGGTTACCATTCCATTATCATCTATCAAAAAAAAACAATCCCTTTCCCCCCAAAAAGACATTTCAGATGGTTCACCGTGATTAATACACCTGGAATTCAGCACGATGGTTTCCAGGAGAGACTACATGGAGGTTTACCTGAAAGGGTATATTGCTAGCAATGGGACTGGTAGTTCGTGTTAATATCGATCCCTCCCCCCATCTGTTTGCTTAGTAAGCATTATCCTTTCTATGAATATTTACATTATTATACTTTTATGAGTTCTCAATATATAAAACGATATTAACTATTAGTTTAGAATCTTAAATAAACTACTAGGAATCGATTGAATATATTTCTTATTAATAATATAATTTATTAAAAATAATACCACAATAATACAAAATGTCTTAAACGAAACCTAACTGCAATAGGCAACCTGCCTTTCAAGCATGGCAGCTACTGGCACCACAACAACAAACACTCCAATAAAGAAAGATCTATGTTTAGCAGTGGACAGTTCGCGGCTGATATGCTAATGATCTTAATCGAATTATATATCATGTAAAATACTATTTTTGTTAATACAATATCTGGAGTAAATTAGGCTCTATGGCTTTTGATTTAAAGTTAAAAGTTGATACATCAAGTACAAGCATTTCCGACATCCATATAAATCTATATCTGTGGTGGAGCCGAACAATTTAAAAAAATCAATATGTCAATTCAATGTCATGTCAGATAGCCAGGTAGATAATTGTCAAAAAATGCCGACGTCCAACGACCGACATTTTTGTTTGAGTTACGCAAAAAAAGTGTGATTAAAATAAAAAAAAATTAGCTAAATTATTTGACAACATATATTAAATTAAAATATACATTAATATCCTCAAAGTTTTGTGTACTCGAAAAGTTTTTAGAACCGGAATCCAATTGGGATTCTTTAGTCCCCGGTGAAGTGAAGTTTTGCTGTAATAAAACAATTGTTATAACATTTCTGTTAATGCTATGTTGAAATTAAATTAATATCAGTGAATTCGACTTTCATATTTTGTAAATTACAAATATGGATAACTCTATAACAATAAAAACCGAGCCCGAAGATTACGTGGAACCGTCTTCGCCGCAAAACTTGGTCGAACCGGAACAAGTACACATCAAACCTGAACCTTTTCAGGAGATAGAAGAAGAAAGAAACTGTAGCGTCGTAAAAAAGGAGCCCGTTGATATAAATGATGAGAATTCCTCGAGTCAAGTCCAAACAACTATTGTGAAATTAGAACCGTTACATATTGCAAGTAAGTAGGACAGTGGAATAGAAAAATATTTATTCGGCGTTCTACAGTAGTTTTTACAGATAGTGTTCTATAATGTTTATGATGCAGTCCATATCTATAAGTGACTGCCACTTTCTGGCTACCAGTTTGAATATTGTTGCAAGTTGCATAAAAAAAATACAATCTACAGTAATTAAATACTAGTTGCCTTGACAACTATAGTTTATTAGATAATTTTGAGACAGCAACCCTCCCCTGAAGCTACCTACTACTTTTATAAAATTAATTTTTAGTTCTCGCTAATTTTATTTATATTATTAAAATTAAATATTGCAGACTTATTTTTTTTTAATCATACAATGAGCCCTGCCTGTACTAGCTCTTACTTGTGTCTTAGTCTTTATGACCAGAATAAATAGTAATCTATATATTTCTCCATCCCATATAGTATTTATATATCCAAATTCATAGCAATTTCAGTGCATTTTTGGATGTAAAAATGATTATTTTATGTTTATTTTTAATTATGGTAAATTAAGTTTAATTATATGTACATTTTATTTGTTCATTTTTTTTTCTCGTTTGTTGTTTATATTTTATTTTTTACATTGCACTGAATAAAATATTTTTCTTCTTCTTCTTCTTCTTCAATTATTAAAGCTATTAGGGCTCTGTAAGGCAACAAACTAAACTCACTTCCACATAATATTAGTAGGGGTTAAATATAATTATTTTTAGGAAACATATTCCTTTACTTATTTATTTATAAATTACTCACAAACACTTACAGTATCCCAAAACGTGTAGTGAGCCATGGGTTTATTTTACAAACTTAAAAATTTTAAACAACATTTTAAAAATATATCTATTAGGCTTCATTAGTGTCATATTTTACTTGATTGTATATACACACGATATAAGATCATAAGAATAGAGACATAGAGTGGTTATATTAAAAAGGATATTTTTTTTTAAAATGGTATTCGGAGTATATCAACAGCTTTATAAATTAAAAAATTACCATGGCTAATTATAATTCCTAATATAATAAAGATCAAAAACTACCTATAAAAATATTAATTTGTATTTTTGATTAATTATAACGTTTTTAAATAACAGATGATGTGAGTGTTGATGAAGATCTAATTGTCACAAAGAGAAAAAAGAAAAGAACTACACAAAGTGATAATGATGATGAAGAGTATACACCAAAAAGGAAAAAGAAGGTAAGTTCTAAATAGAAATGTGTAATATAAATAAAAATATCTATATATCGTAGTTACGATATCTATATATATTATTGTTACAATATCTATATATCATAGTTACAATATCTGTATATCATAGTTACAATATCTATATATCATAGTTATAATACCTATATATCATAGTTACAATATTTGTATATCATAATTACAATATCTATATATCATAGTTACAATATCTATATATTGGCCCAATGACAATTAATTTTGAATATTTATTATCTGTATATATAATTAAAATTAAAAACCTAATCTTAATATATACTAATTAGTATGAATGATATATATTATATATGTGATGATAATTTTTTCCACTATCAGTATATAAGTATCTGTGGGATACTGATATTACCCAAGCCTAGGTCTTATTAAAGTGTATTGGTAGCTGCTCACTAGTGCAATGATGAGGAAGTAGCTACGAAACTTTAAGCAGTAGAATAGGACAATCACCTTCACTTTATCCTGCTTAAGTAGGGTTACCATCATTCAAAAATAACAAGTAATTTAGAACCTCTACGATTGTACCTCTAAATTGTTCAAAAAACCCTATAATGTTAATGGTGCAATAAAGTGTTAAATAAATAAATAAACCTCTCATACCAATATAATATAATATAAATACCATTTTTTTAATGTAAATGAAAATACTGGAGATGAAAGCTAGTGGCTATGGCTAGGATTCGAATTTCGAATTTTATTCGAAGATTCGAATTTTATTTTAGTATTTTTTTTTAAATATTTTCAGACCAAAAAGGATGATGATGCGAACCAGTCATGTGGTAGTACGTCTAAAAGTGAGTATTATTTCAAGTCATTTTTAACCGGTGATTTCTTTCGCGTGGCTGGGATAATGTAATATTACAGTATCCGATGTAGATTTATTACCATTGCGGACTATTTAGTTGTAACAAAATTAACTCTTTGAAATTGTTTTGCCTTACTGGGCAATTGCCCGGCTGTCGCTATCCTTACTTTGTTTCTTTACAAGGAAACCAATCGGTAAATTCTGTCACCTATTGTATTTGTATCAGCCATTAACTGTCCACTGCTGGACATAAGCCTCCCCCATAAGGGTGGTTTTGCCAGTAGTTGCCACGCTTGACAGGCAAGTTGGCAACGGCAGTTAGGCTTTGTTATGTTTTAAAAGGGATGCTGTTGCCCGTCCCTCGTCCTCCTTTAGTCGTCTCTTACAACAGCTACGGGAAAGGAAGGGTGGTCTATTCTATGCCGGGAAACTCCGTCACACTAGTCCTAATGAATGTTACATTTTCTTAAAATTTAAAGTCAATTATAAGCTATAGAATATTCTATACTAGCGACTCGTCCCGGCTTCATACGAGTGAAATGTATGTACATACTTGTGTACGGCTGCTACCATCCGGAACGGACATACTCCACTCTGCCCCCGCATTTTAAATTTCTGATATCTTCATATTTATTTTAAATTATGCTGTAAAGGGCAATTTTGATTTAAAAAAAATGCACAATACAATAAAATCCCGGTTTTTCCAATTTAAGAAAAGATATTCTCTAAACTGGCTCGGGTCTGAATATTCTGGATTGTACCCCAGATGTTCATTGGCTGGCCTTGTAACACGTCCCTGCTTGCTGCTATACTAATGGTAGCGGGATTAAACAAAAGAATTCTAATCAAATAACCAGTATCGGACGATTCTTGTATGGTAATACCAGAGGGAGACTTTGTACAAAAGTCGATTGCTTGGGTACCTCTGTCCCATTCGTGTTTCTACCGTAAAGCAGTTGTGTTTGCATGGCTGTGTTTCGGTTTGAAGGATATGGCGTGAATTTACAGGGTACAGAGGAATAACACCTGAGTCCTCAGGAATGGCAACACATGGGGGGTATCACGGGCGAAACAGTATACTCTGTTATGTCCACGGTACTGCTCATGTCTATAGGCGACGGTTACCATTTTCCATCAGGTGGGCCGTCAGCTTGTTTGTCATTCTAAGTTGTATAAAAAAAAAATTGGCACTTATTATTCTATTTACTTTTTCAGAACAAAACATGATGTACACAGAAGACATAACTAAATACATCGAGATAGTGACAATTACCGAAGAGGACAGACAGAAGGAGCACAGTGAGATGCTGAATGCGCGGAAACACATGCGCCACAAATGCGAATGGTGCGCGCTGGGGTACGTCGTGGAGGACGCCTACAGGATGCACATGAAGGTGCACTCGCCGGTGAGTTGTACACCATTTATCTAATTGCACACTCTCAAAGTGTAAAGCCAGCTTCTATTACCAGTAAAATGTACTGATTTTTTTTCTTTATTGTTCACATCAGCTGTTAACTGTCCACTGCTGAACATAAGACTTCCCCATAAGGGATGTTTTGCCAGTAGTTGTCACACTTGGCAGGTGGGTTGGCAAATGTTTTACAAGGGTTGCTGCAGGGCGGATCGCTAGTATGAAATAATTTAAACAGATCTCTTTAATACCAAAAATAATAATAATTACATATAAATTAAAATAAAGAATATCTGTGCGGTCCCGGCATAGAATAGGCCACCCCTTCCTTTCCTGTGGGTGTCGTAATAGGCGACTAAGAGAGCTTATTTTCGAGGTCTGAGCAGCAGCGTCCCTCTTAAAACATCTCTAAAAGCCTAACTGCGGTTGCCAATTCGCCTTCCAAGCATGGCAACTACTGGCAAATCCCTCCAAAGGGGAGGCTAATGTTTAGCAGTGGACAGTTAAAGGTTGATATGATGATGATGATGATGATGTCCGTTTTAGCTGTTCAGCAATAATTTGTGTAAAAATGTGTGTTATTTGTATAATATAATAATATAGTATAATAGTAAGCGGGGGGAAGGGATTGTCAGCAATGGAGTTTGACAGCCCCATTGCTAGCAAGCAAGCTAGCCCTATCAGGTCAACCTCCGCGTGGTTCCCCTCTGGAAACCATCGTGAACTATTCTCGTTGAATTCGTCACGATGGGCTTACTGACCTGTTTCATCCTCGTCTATCATCCGTCACTGGTGCCCTATCAGCGTATACCGATAGCGCGGGTGGGGTTACTATTTCATTATCACCTATAAAAAAAAAGTATAATAGTAAGCTTATTAACTGTTGCAGGATGCGGGGGAGTATGAGTGCGACCTGTGCCACTCGTTCCTGAAGCGCGAGAGCATGCTGTACCGGCACCGGCTGCGGCACTACCGCCGCTACCGCTGCATGCTGTGCCTCACGCTGCACAAGGAGCGCGACTCCGCCGCCAGCCACATCATGGCGCAGCACGCCATGACGGCCTTCAGCTGCGACATGTGCGGCAGGCAGTTCAAGTTAGTACTACACCTACCACTTACGTGCCAAACATCTCCTCTTTCTGCCCTTTTTTTCTTCCATTTATCTCTATTTGAAAAACATACAGCCCGTCTGATGGTAAACGGGTCACCAGGGGTGAAGAAGGTGAAGATCCTGAAGAAACCTTAATATATATATCATACCCATATCATTTACTTTATTTTTTATTTTACTATATATATATATATATATATATATATATATATATATATATATATATATAAAACTGTAACTGTCTTACGATTTTGCTGCTTTATTCGAAATGTCTGCTGAGTATAAAAGTTGAAAAACTCAGCTGTGTTTTTTTTTTTTTAAATAAATTTATGATAACTAATGAATGGATAAGTATGGAAACGATTCCATCGCCTAGTCTAAATTTACCTAAACAAGTACGTTTTTTATTGTCGCAGACGACCCCAGTATCTTCAGAGGCATATAGACCAGCACCACACTAAGACGCTGAAACTTGAGTGCCCTGAGTGCAAACGGGTCTTTCACGAGAGAGGGCGCTACAGGAGTCACGTCAGGTAACGATATAAAAAGGACCGATAGCTTACTCTTTAAGAAAGGGGGGAAAGGGATTGTTAGTAATGGGATCTAACAGTTCCATTGCTAGCAATGTACCTTGTTAGGTCGACCTCCACGTGGTCCCCCCTGGAAACCGTTGGGGGTAATTCTGATGGAAATCTTCATGATGGGCTAAATTACCTACTTTCACCCTCACCTATTATTTCTCACTGGTCCCCTGCCAGTGTATAGCGCAGGTGGGGTTACCATTTTATTTTTACTTAATAAAAAAAACTAAGAACGGTAATGCTGACGCATATATATAAACGGATTCTTGGATCCTTCAAATGTAGTGTCAAAATGCACTTAGTAAGCCAGCATAATGCAGCCAACCATTGAGAGTACATTCTCTTTTTGGTTGATCGTATTCATGAACCATATTGTCTCTGTGTTCACTCAGAATGGTGTTGCCACATAGAAAAAAGAAAGGAACAAAAATATTAGTGACATATTTTGTTGGTATATATATATATATATATATATATATATATATGTATATATGTATATATATATATATATGTATGTATATATATACAAAAACACATAGAATATTATAATAATGTAAAAAATTAAAACCTCAATATGCTATAAAAAAATATTCATTTTTAATGCATTTCTGCTTAATTTATTCCCTCTGCGAAATCCTGTGACAATGACAGTGAAAAAAGTCCAGTTCTGAACTCGCTATTACCTCATTTCTTATGTATTATTATGTATAATTTTTTATGCAACTTAGAAAGGCAAACAAGCTGACGGAAAGTGGTAACCGTCGCCTAGTACCATGGGCATAACAGAGTATACTGTTTCGCCCCATGCGTTGCCATTCCTGAGGACTCTGGTGGTATTCCTCTGTACCCATATTTAAGTATGTTAGTATAGTTATGTCACATATTTTTCACTACATCTGCCCTTCATGTGCTTTATGTTTTTACCTAATGGTAAGCTGGTAGAGAATGCCATATGGCATTAAGCTCGCCACTTGTATAAAGTTTTATTGTGCCATAAAAAATTAATAAATTAATTGTAATACTTATTGGGCAGGACCCACAACGAGGAAGTGAGGAACAACACGGACCACCCGACGGTGACGTGCGAGGTGTGCGCGCGCGTGTTCAGGAACAATAGCACTCTGAAGCGCCACCTGGTGGCGCACCACTCGGACGTCGTGTGCGCCGTCTGCATGACCCGCTTCGACAACAACCAGCAGCTCACCACACATTACAACCAAGTGCACAACGGAAACTTCTTCAAGTGAGCATGTTTTTTTTTTAATGGATGATAATGGAATGGTAACCCCGCCTGCAGTGAGGGATGATAGGTGACGATGAAAGCAGGTCAGTTAACACATCATGACGAATTCCACTAGAATTAACCATGATTTGTCATCATTGCTGAACATAAATCTCTCTTATAGGAATGGGGGGGGGGCAGTAGTTGCTAAGGTTGGGCGGGTTGGCGGGTTTTGGTAATATTTTAGGATGCTGCTGTGCATCCATGCCGTTTGGTCCCGGCATAGAATGGTCCACCCCTTCCATCCCTTGGGTGTCGTAAGAGGCGTATAAGAGAATTTACCTAATGATCGAGAGATCGGCAACAGCATCCTTATTAAATTATCACCAAAACCTAGCATACAGAGTTGTTTCATAGTAATTCAGTAACAAACATTCAAATATCTTCACAACTTTTCACATATACAATACAAATAGGATGTAAAGAAGTTGCGTTCTGTAACAGGGAACACACTCGAGCCATTTAACCAAAAAATTTGGATTCCAATCTCATTGAATTGAACTGTGAGAACTAAAATATATCACCTTAGTCTTAAGGATTTCAATTTTTAACTTATTTATCTATATAAGATCATCACACTCTGAACTAGTTTCCCAAATTAAGTAATTCCGTGTTGTTTCAGCTCCGGGGAAGAGTGTCCGCACTGTTCCCGCGTACTAGTCACCCGCGCCATGCTCCACCGACATATACAACGTATGCACAGCGACCGCACCAAGAAGTGAGTAAATTAGATAGATAGATAAATACTCTTTATTGTTTCCTCCAAAAGATTGCAATAGTAAACTTATTATAGATACAAACAATTACAAGAAATAATCACAGTGGGAAAACATTGGGCGACCTTATCGCTAAGAGCGATCTCTTCCAGGCAACCTTTGGATGGAGAGGAGTAATTATAAACAATTTGGTGGGAGGCACGATGAAAAATTCTGTTAATTCTAAATATGGAGATGTGATACATGTAATAATTATTGTATAATAGGGAATATTACGCTGGTTTGGTCATTTGGAGAGGATGAATGAGGGTAGAATTACAAAAGAGATAATATCTGTAAAAGCCAAATTAAAAGTACTCTCAACCTGCGAGCTTGTATGAATAGATTGATGAATGTGAAGGAAGCGAAAGAGGTATGTTTGGTTTGGAACATTTGGCGTCCCATTGTTTCTGCCTATCCCAATAGGAGACAAGTGTGATGCGTATGTATATACAAAGTCGAGTATTGTGTCCATATTTATTCATAAACTTAGATACCAAAAGCGAATATTTTGGAGTCTTTATTCTACTGTTAAATAATAATAACAAATAAATAATAAAGAATAGAAGAGGCAAAATGCTGGGCCACCTTATACGACATGATAATTTTTTTAAGAGCATAGTAGAAGGAAAGATAGAGGGCAAAAGAGGAAGAGGAAGACCGAGGGATAACTACATGGGACAGATAAAGGAAACACTAGGCGTTATGTCGTATAGGGAGATAAAGGATATGGCCTGGGATAGAGCTGGCTAGAGGAAGATGCATGAATTAGTTGCACCGACAAGAGGAAACTCTTAAATGAAAAGAAGATTCTACTGTTGTTCAGTACATGTAGTATTGAATTGACGTTTGCCAATCCGTGTACTAAATTTAGCTCCCACTGCTTGGACAGTTTCCACCAGCTTGTCGTTCATGTCAACCGCTGTTCTACCAGGCATTGATCATGACAGCGTTTCACGTTCGGAGCGTATACCTATACCTATTGGTGATTCTGAGTATAGGGTATTATATATTATACCACCTTTGTCGACACACTTCCATCTTTTGGACATTATTAACAAAGGGTGTGCGTACCATGTACCCGACACCACCGTTGGAGAAATGGTCGTCCTCTCGGTAATAGAACACATTACGGATTCAAGGATTATCGTATCCTACCGCTGTCTTCGGAGTACAGACAGTCCTGTAATATCTTAATGTCACTTATTCATCTCTTAATCTAGCTCTAAGATCTTTTCGTCGACTCTCAATGTTTATTCGTTAAGTATTCAAGTCCAATTGCGTTTGTTGGTAACCAAATCTTTTCCGCGGATTTCTCGCGTCCCCTGATCCACAGTCCTCGTGACTGCTACCCTACTCAGGAATAGCAGAGCCACCAGGGATTGAGGGCCGTTTTTTTTTGTGGTTATGGTGCACTTGGCAGGTAGATTGGCAACTGCAGTAAGACTTCGGTAATGTTTCAAGTGGAACGCTTCCCTCGCCTCTTCCAAGGTTCTTCTAGTCGCATTTTACGACACCCATGGGAAGAGAAGGGGTGGCCTATGCCACTATGCTGGGCTGACGCGAAGAAGTGCTAAATTAACTCTGTCTACACTTTATGCACTAATATAAATAACTTCATATGACACAGTCCCACTGTTCAGGTAAATCTACTTCTCTAATAGGGCGTTGGACCCATCAAAAGTAAAGCCAAAATTGTGCTCTAACTTACCCTCGACTATGGTGCCTCAATTCAACTGTTTTGACGGTCGCCACTTATAAGGATGGTGGACAAGTCATTAGGATGGGAGTAGCGGTGAATACAGAAAGTACAGAAGAATTACGTTTGTGTGATATGCAAAAAATATTGGAAAACGAGCGTTAAATATTTTAGAAAATCATGTGTTACGGATGTCTCCAGGGATATTTGTTTCTTAAAACTCTGATTTCATTATCTGGGGTGTACACTTTTACAGTCATATTTAGGTACACTGCAGCAATATGGAATGAGAGAGTGCTTGATGTGGTGTGTAGCATATTTCTGCAGTCGTAGCTCTCATCTCATATCTTTTTTATAAAGGCATATAGGAATGCCAGTATTTATTAATGAAGATTAGAGATGAGGTAGTTGTATTGTGGCAAGAATATTGATCTTTATACGCAAATGGGCAGGAACTCTATCGATTATTTTCAGACATAGCTATAAGGTTAATATTTCCCTGGGCCGAGCCCAATTACGGCAAGTCTCAGATCGTGATCGGTTATGGCTGCTCTAGGAAATGTTTGCACAGTATGAAACTTAGCGAGTTAAGTAGATGCGAATGCGCAGGTGTTGAACACGCATTACGAGAATGCCCTCAACATTTGCATTTGTGGGTGATACTGGATCGATTTGGGAGGTCGAATGGCTCTAGGTCGTCTAACTAAATATTGTACTTTCGACGAATTCGATGCAATCGGTTTTGTTTTTATGAATGACAATGGAATAGTAACTCCGCTTTCGCTAACGGTGCACGTTGGCGGGGCACTAATGGAAGATGAAAAGGTGAGAATGAATACAGAGGGCCTACCATGAAATGTTTTCCGAAATTTCGGAGCCCACCGAAACGCAAATTTGATGTTAAAATTACATAATACATTCCGTTTGGAAATATTAAAATTATTAAAATAATGTCCCTTTGGACTGTTATGATTGGATGTATGACGAACGAAACGTTAAACTCCATTTATTGGTCTGATTTTGGTATAAATAAAAACACGAAACTGAGTTCGAAATTTCGGGATTTCATTTCATGGTAGACCCGCAGGTCGGTTGGCCCACCATGATGAGTTCCACAAGAATGAACCATGCCGGTTTCCACCTGGAAGCGCGTGGAGGTGGAGCCGAGAGGATATATCGGTAGCGATGGCGCAGGTACCAGTGCGACCACTGCCAGCGGCTGTACCTGACGAAGGGCGAGGTGCGCGCGCACATCATGTGGTCGCACGAGCGCGCGCGCGGCGGGCACGGCTGCGCGCGCTGCGGCCGCGTGTTCCGCACGCCGGGCCGCCTGCGCCTGCACGCGCGCCGCGACCACCTGCGGCTGCCCGCGCCGCGCGACCACGCCTGCCACGTCTGCCGCAAGGCCTTCGAGGTTTTCCTTTATTTATTTTTATACAACTTAGAATGCCAAACAAGCTGACCGCCCACCTGATGGAAAGTGGTAACCGTCGCCTATACACATGAGCAGTACCGTGGACATGACAGAGTATACTGTTTCGCCCATGATACCCCCCATGCGTTGTCATTCCCGAGGACTCAGGTGTTACTCCTCTGTACCCAGTAAATTCACGCCATATCCCACCCTTCAAACCGAAATACAGCCATGCAAATACAACTGCTTCCCGGTTGAAACACGAATGGGACAGAGGTACCCGAGTAATCGACTTTTGTACAAAGACTCCCTCTGGTACGCGCTCCTAGGCCGTGTCCATAGTACAAGGAAAAATAGAGGGCATACGAGGAAGGGAAAGAGCCAGGAATAAGGCCAGGCCTGAGATAGAGCTAGCTGAAAGATGCATGAATTAATTGCACCGACAAGAGGAAACTTAAATGAAAAGAGAAGACCTTTGTAATCCCGCCTACGCTAACGGTATACGCTGACGGGTCACCAGTGAAGAATGATAGGTGAAAATTAAAAGGTAGATCAGTGATGAATACACCTGATATTCATCACGATGGTTTCCAGGAGGGATCACGTGGAGATCGACCTAACAGGGTATATTGCTAGCAATGGGACTGGGAGTCCACATTGCTAAAAATTCTGTCCCCTCCCCAACTTTATCTGGAATTGAAACCTGAAATAATTTTACTTATTTTGTCTACCCATAGTAAGAGACAAATTAGTAAATTAAAAACATGTTAAAAAAAAATTAATTAAAATTTGACCCCTAAAACTTGCCTAGGCTGATCATTAAACCTGTTCTGCTGAAAACCACCATGAAAGCTTTCATGCTGTAATTTTTTTTTTTTTCAGAACAAACAAGTCCTGAAACGCCATTTACGGGTCCACTCGGACGAGATGTATCCGTGCAAGGAATGCGGGCTGCTATTCAAAACTGAGCCCTACGTCGACGTGCATTACAAACTAAAACATTTGAACATGACCCGAGCTCAAATCAAGGGTCAAATACAGAAGAGGAAAGCTCAAAGCATCAATCTATTCAAACCGACCATAGCTCAATTGAAAACAATAAAGTCAGACGGGAAGCTAGAAGTTAAAATTAATAAGGATCTAATTAAAAAAGAGATCAACGCCAAGAAGAGTTTAATGATGAATGACATGAAGGATCCACTGTCGATCAGTAGCAATGATCTAGTGCAAAGGAAAAATATAAATAATTTGGCAGGCAAAATGGAATCGAACGGTATTACTGATATAGTAACACCACTGTTCGAAACATTTGTTGACATACAAAGAGATGTAGAAGGTTGAACTGTATTCTAGATAAATACATAGTTATGACAAATTAGTCCGCTTTCGTAAGTGTAAATCTATTTTTGTCTCTATGCAGATCCAGATGTCTGTTAATTCTACTGATATTGTACAAAGGTCTCAATTTATAGTCTAGTACCTGGATGACTGAGCATCGCTCTCAGTATTTTTTTGTTAAATCGTGTTTTTTTAATATTATATTTAGGTATTGCTCAGTGTTGCTTAACAACGCCATCTGTTGTCAAGTAGAAAGCAGTACTAAACACTCATTGGCTGGCCTCGACCATAGAGTCTGCTGATTAGAGGTAGGTGATACATATATATTTACATTGCTATATAGTAATATCTATATATTTCAGTTACAATAACTATATACTGGTTCAATAACGAATATTTTAAAAGTCTGTTATCCAAATAATAATATTAGATAACAGACTTTTAACATATTCGAAAATAGATATCCGACCGATGTGGGCGATATTGAAACCCAATATATAGATATCAGATCGGTATCCATATTATTCATGCCTACTGCTAATGGTCAAAAGTAGTACAAATAAAACAATCGATTATTTGATTGAATATTTAAACTCCTAATAACATTTAGAGAGTGTTCCTGTGATAATTTCAACTATATATATATATATATATATATATATATATATATATATATATATATATATATATATATATATATATATATATATATATATATATATATATATATATATATATATATATATATATATATATATATATATATATATATATATATATATATATATATATACATAAAATCGTCGAAAAAGGCATATATATATATACTCATTTAGACAGTTTTATTAATTATTCTAAATTTTTCAAAATGCTTAAACATTCATATATATTAAAAACCAAAAAAAGCCCATGAAAAATTTAAGTATCGTGCAGTATTATCCGACATGGCGGTGAACGTGTCAATATTGATCAAGCGCAAATCCACTTGATCCTTGAGTAATAAACAATCTCAACAGTATAATAAGTAAACATACTACATATTGGTTACTGTACAGTATACGAAAATTACCGATTTTAATGAACCATATTCTGTTTTATAGAAATATATGAAAATTCACGTGGTGAAAAACAGCGAGCACTAGCAAAGCTGATGACACTATTTTTTTTTATATATTAAAAATAAAAGAAGCAAAGCTTTCTTATCAGAATTGTGATAAAAATATTTTTTTGTTAAAGTCTTATGTAAATAGGGCAAAGAGGAATAGAAAAAGCAGGAAAGTTATATTTAATGCTAGATTTTAAATAAATTAAAAGGAATTTTCAATTGTAACATTTTACGATTCTACCCCCCAATTCGGAATACAACTTTAGCATTAACATGCAAAGAAAGGTGATCCATTTCTACAAAGTATGCCAGTGTATTGGGTCGCAGGTTTGACTCTTAACAGCTTAATATTTCTACCAACACTTTAAATTTGTATAAATTATATAATTATAGATAGATAGATACACTTTATTGTTTCCTCCAAAAGATTACAATAGTAAACTTATTATAAATATAAACAATTACAAGAAATAATCACAATGAGAAAACAATGGGCGACCTTATCGCTAAGGGCGATCTCTTCCAGGCGACCTCTGGATGGAGGGGAGTAATTATAAACAGTTTGATCGGAGGCACGATGAAATTTCTAACAATAAAATTATAAGAAGTTTACTACAACAGTAGTCTTTTGGAGGAAACAATAAAGAGTACTTGTACAATTGTATCGTTATATTTGTTGTTTTGTTTTTCCCCTATATTGTATAATGCAAATAAAGTATACTCATTCATTCATTCAAAGAGTATCTATCTATATATAATCGTAAAGAAAATTAACAAATTTTTTTAAACAAAATTTATGTTTTACAATTTATGTTTACAATGACTATCACGTAGAACGTAGACGTATAATTAATATTCTTGGGCAGAACAATTGTTGTAAACAGTGTCCGTTCACGAGTATGACGGATAAGTCACGCCCGTTCACGGGTATGACGGACGGGCCATGTCCGTTCACGAGTATGACAGACAAGTCACGCCCGTTCACGAGTATGACGGACGAGCCATGATCGTTCACGAGTATGACGGACAACTCATGGCCGTTCACGAGTGCGACGGGCGAGCCATGGTCGTTCACGAATATGACGGACTAGCCATTCCCGTTTACGAGTATGACGGACGAGCCATGGCCGTTCACGAGTATGACGGTCGAGCCAAGGAACGGAAAACACTAGTTAGTAAGTTTATATTTCAAAAGATTCATTTAAATTTCTAAGTGATTTCTGATTGATATTAATATAAGATTAATCGGCGCGCAGACTCAGCAGATAATATACAGGGGGTACAAACTTCGCATTTCATAAGTTTGTGCCACGCTGTATATAAAAAAGAATTGTATGGAAGCTAAAACTGCAGTGGATGCTTTTTGATAATGGGATGAAAATGGAATGGTAACCCCGCCTGTGGGGTACCAGTAGTGATAAGTGAAGACAACGTCAGATCAGTTGACGCATCTCGAGGAATTCACCAAGAACCCATTGTGACGCTTTCCAAGAGACCGCGCGGAAGTCGTTCTGATAGATCCATATTGCTAGCAATGGGGTCATTAATCTTTACTATTAACTAATCCATATATCGGGGCGAAAGGTATTGTTAGTAATGGAGGCTGAGAATCCCATTGCTAGCAATAGACCTAACCAGGTCGACCTCCTCGCGGTTCCCCCTGGAAACTATCATGGTTAATTCCTGATGAATTCATCATGATGGGCTAACTGGCCTGTTTTCATTCTCATCTATCACCCTTCATTGGTGCTCCGCCAGCGTATCCCGTTAGCGCGGGCGGGGTTACCATACCATTTTCATCCATAAAAAAAATCCATATATCATCCTTGTAGCAGTGGACCCGATATATGTTGAAATGGGGGGGGGGGGGTGTTAGTAATGGAGTTTAGCAATCCCATTGCTAGAAATTTACCCTATTAGGTCGTTCACGCGGTTCCCCCTGGACCATCGTGATTGAGTTACTGTTGAATTAGTCACGATAGGTCAACGGAGCTGCTTCATCATCTATTTATCCCTCATTGGTACCCGATACCGATAGAGCAGGCGGGGTCACCATCCCATTATCAATCATTAAGAAAAATATGTTTTAGAAACAAACGTTAGGATAGAAGGTTCTGGAATGGAAACCGAGAGTGAACAAATACAGAGATAGAAGATTTACGAAGGATTCGTAGTAACAGGCTAAGAGCCAATGATAGCGCTCTATGGTGTGCCTTATGTCCATAAATGGGCTGTAGTAGGTTGGTAACAATGATGAAAGTGATGTATGGAAATCGACGAGTCTGCACTAATTGCGCCGCCGCGCGTAAAAACCGGACCGAAGCGGAAATATCCGGATCTTTGGGTAACACGTTAATAGTGTAAAGAAAAAAAAGATTTTTAATTGAAATAAATTAAAATATAAGTATTTTTAAATAGTCATTTTATAGTCGTTCGAAATGCAATTTTCGCTGTTGAGAAGAAATGGCAAGAAAATCGAGCTGTTGCTTTTTTTTATTGCTGTTAAATATATATTTATATTGTAGTTTGGCTGTGAGTATAATATAGTATAAGCAATTAATTAAGCCAACCACACATTTTGTTCGTTACCACCCGACATAATGTCTGCATGTCTCTGATGTTGAATGCTATATATTTTCATTATTATATTTTATATATATAATATAAAAAAAATTGTCATACTTAATTGGAAAAATTTAAGGCGAGAAAAAAGTAACGTAAAAACTTACATAGTGAAAAATCTATCTTGAAATAACCTAACGTACTTGTAGTTTCTATAATACATAGGTATATTATTATTATTATATATATCATAAAATATTAGTCAATATAAAATGGCAACATTGTCGATAAATTAGACATTATATTTGTCATCGAAAACAAAATGTGGAATTGTCGTGAATTTTGTATAAATTTTTCAACTAGTAATGTTTGTCGACTTGAAAAAGAGACAGAAATGGATTTTAACTTTTTAAATGTATTTATTGAAATGTGCTAAAGAATAATAATAATAAAAAAAAAAGTATAAATTCTTTACATTATGCAAATATAAATAAATATAGTTACACTTAAGTTTGCATGGGAAATAATTTGTCATAATCTAAGATGAATGTTGTAACACTGCAAGGATCTCTAATAAATTACCTTTACGTAGAATATTGAGCTATATGTAGAGTTTTGTTTTTAATATTATAATTATAATAATAAATAAGAATATTTGTTTCATTGGTCTTTCATTTGAAATGTTATATATCGAAAATAGTTCTGAATATTGCCTGTGATTTTTTCTATACAACTTAGAACGGCAAACAAGCTGACTGCCCACCTGATGGAAAGTGGTAACCGTCGCCTATAGACTGATGAGCAGTACCATGGACATAATAGAGTGTAGTGTTTCGCCCATGATGCTAATTTCATGATGATGATGCTAATGTGGTGATTTTTACCATTACATATAATAAAATCGTCTTGTCGCCTTTTGTACATGGAAGATATATAAGAAAAACTATTATAGGGGGGGGGGGGGGTCTCTAGGCCGCAATACAACCCAAAACAATGATTTTTAGGATTTTGTGTCTATCTGTATGTTTGTGCATGCTAATCTCAGTAACGGCTTAACCGATTTGAATGTGGTTTCCACTAATACGTTGCAGTTTGCTCCACTTAACATTTAGTGTTTGTTTTATTTTGGTCGGTTCATAAATAAAAAAGTTATATCAATCTAAAGAATCACATGTAAAATGCTATAACAGATCAGTCGAATCGGCTGAAACTTTATTGTATATGTATTGATTTTTGAAAATTCTATCAACTGTGCGAAGCCGGGTCGGATCACTAGTGACAAATATATTCAATTTTTAGACAGTTTTAAAAAATACTAAGTAATTTTCATCACAGAAATTTTATTCACTTCAAAAAATACAACAAGTATCACAATTTATTCGAATATACATACAGCCATATGCATTATAATAGTTAATATAATACTTTGTCTTTGGTAAATGCTATTCATTAAAAAGTGTTATAAAAAATATATACTTGATACTACTGACAAATACAAAAGCGGTTTAACATACTTGCAGTGAGCTCGTTTGGATAAAACTCTAATATTTTTATTCACTCGTGTGCAAGTGTGCATGTCTCTAAAACTTTAGCATTTATAACAAATATATGGCCATTTTAAAACTAACAAGTTCATAAATATATCTGTTGAAAACTGCGATAATTGTGATGCAAATATGGCTAAACTATTATATATTTATTTATAAAGATGGCGAGATATATATAAATACATACATATTAAGTTTTCAACATCCTTTTACCAAATTTTATTAGAATCAACAGAATGCATTATATTTTTTTAATAATAAAGTATAAGTGGCCAGTATGTGCAATATTAAAAAGAACTCACTCTCAAAAATTAAATGTGTTATTATTTACTGATATATAAATCGTCAATAATATGATTTAGGTCAAGATAAAAACTACGTAATTTTATTGTTGAAATGTTCATGATATCTCTCATGTACATATATATATAAAACTATCTTCTTTAAATATTAATTGCCAATTTACTCAGTAAATAAAACATTTATATTATAACAAAAATATATATTTAATATTATATGTGGAATGTATTAATAATTCTTTTCTTTATCATCAACCCAGCTGACAATTTTCTTGTTGTACCATACATACTGCCCCCTCACAGAATCAGGGGCTTCGAGGGCCAAAAACAATGGTGCTACGGCCCCCTCATCGATCGAGAGTATACCTTTATGTGAAGACATATCTGTGTCTACATAACCTGGATGCACTGCATTCACTTTTATATCTGTAAGCAAAACAACTGATTAGAATTGAACGGAGGACTTTAAGTCTATGGTAAATGAGTATTTAGGAGAGACAGAGATTGTTTGCAATGGGATCTAATACTGCCATTGCTAGCAATATACCCTATTGGGTCAATCTCCATGTGGTTCACTCTGGAATCTATGACATCCCATTAAGTCCTGATCACTAACAGGATACACATATTTTAAATATGGCTCAACAATGCAAGAGTGGGGGGAAAGGGATTGTTAGTAATGGAGACTCAGAATCCAATTGCTAGCAATATACCCAACTAGGTCGACCTCCTTGCGGTTCCCCCTGGAAACTATCATGATCAATTCCTGATGAATTCATTATGTTGGGCTAACTGGCCTGTTTTCATTCTCATCTATCACCCTTCACTGGTGCTCCGCCCAGCGTATCCCTAAAGCGCAGGCGGGGTTACCATACCATTTTCACCTATCAATAAAAAAAAAACAATGCAAGAGTTAGTTTAAAATCAACTACATATAATAAACCTTATTACCTTCTTAACTACCATTTAAAAATAAAATGAGATAAATGTAACTTGGAAAATATGTTAACTTTTAATAAGAGTTTATTTTTTTATTAACTTTTAACAAAACAGTAATAATATAGTTAAAAAATCTAACATACATTGAAATTAATACACATAATGTTAGTTCTTTTTTTTTATTTGAACACCAAAAGCTTTCAGAGCAGGCAAAGAGAACAGGGTATCAAAAATATTTATTTTAAAATTCTAAATTCAAATTACTTACCTCTATTCTCAAGTAATCTTTGTTGGATTTTAGTCAATGCTGTCAATCCAACTTTAGAGACAGCATATGATGAGTTTCCCCATTCAGCAGCCTGTGTCCCTTGTTTAGCAGCCTCTATGTATTGGCGCATTAAATTAGACAATTCTTCTATAGTTAATGTCGGATCAGAAAACCGATTCCTTAATTTTTCACTAGGAATATTAGTAAGATGACCGGCGGAACTGGATATGTTGACCACTCGACCTCCGTTTCTCACGATGGGGAATAGTATCTCGCAAGTAGAAAGTACGGAAAAATAATTGACAAACAGCGTTTGTTCTGCCTGCACCGACACCGGTTCAGTCGCGTTGTTTTTAAAAGCTATAGCAGCGTTGTTAACCAAAATATCTATGCCTCCATATTTTTCTTTGATATAATCATGAAATGCTTCAATGCTTGACGGCACCGTGATGTCTAATTGATGGTAATTAGGATTTAAACCTTCTTGCTGAAGAGCTGCGACAGCTTTCTTTCCAAGTTCTTCGTTTCGGGAGGTCAGGTAAACGGTACCATCGAAACCTTTACAAAGACCACGGACTATAGCGAAACCAATGCCTTTATTCGCTCCGGTCACAACTGCGACTCTTGATGCCATTTTAAAGGGATTCAAAATAAATAATAATTTAAAGACAGTTTAAGTAAGTGTGTATGAAACATTTATACTTCTATATTCTATTCATTTACAACGTGGACGCAACACTATATCTATATTAATAAAATTGGAAAATAATACGTAATTATCAATGCAACCATCTAAAAGCATCATATCAACTGCATAAATGAATATTTACAGCTGTAGACTATTTATAGCTAGTTGTACACCCTGATCTACTTTTTTTGTAAAATCAAGGATTATCCAAATAGAAAAAGGTAACTGTTCTGAATATATTTTGTGATGCGTTATTATTTGTTTGGAAATCAAATTTTACTTAATAGATATTTTGAAAAAAGTCGAGCCATATTTATTTAAATAAATCTTAATATTTAAATATTCTTAATGTCATAAAAGTCCTAATTATTTTATTGTGCTAAATGTTCAAAATCAATGAACTTGTTACATGGATTTAATACAATTGTTCCTTCCTTTGAAGTGATGTATCTTCTATTCTATAAGTAAAATTAACATTTGACAGCCGACTAACTTATGGTTACTTACTCTGTGTAGATAATGGCAATGTAGATTCTACCGCATAGATATAATATTTTAAGTGTTTTGGTTCAAATTATGCTTATTTCATGGTCAAATATCAAAATTAAATTGCATCTCAATTTAGATTCAAACATTTAGTTATATAGATAATAATATTTATCCCAGGAGAATAAAAATACTAATTATACCTACTCAAGTGTGAATCAGTTGTTATGCTACAAATTAGAGTAATAAACATAAAATGATCTGCTTAGTAGGACCCATTTTTTATACTACAAAGGTGGCAAACGGCAAACAAACATACAGCCTATCTGATGGTAAACGATCACTTTACAAGCCATTTAATTACTTTTTGTGTGTTTATTCATTACATTTTATTGCACCATTTATAAAATTAATAAACTCTATATGGTTTATATTTTATAAATGGTAAAATTTAATTCTTGGTTAAATTGTTATAAAAAATGCTGTTTACAGCACCAAATTTAATAAGGTTTTCACAGTTAATATTTCAGATCTACATATGTTTAATCTTTTTTTTGTACAACTTAGAATGGCAAACAAACTGACGGCTTACTTGATGGAAAGTGGTAACCGTCGCCTATAGACATGAGCAGTAGCATGGATATAACAGACTATACTGTTTCACACATGATATCCCCCATGCATTTCCACTCCTGAGGACTCAGATGTTATTCCTCTGTATTCTGTAAATTCACGCCATATACCTCCCTTCAAACCCAAATACAGCCATGCAAACACAACTGCTTCACGGTAAAACACGAATGGGACAGAGGTACCAAAGCCCACGATTTTTGTACAGTCTCCCTACATCTTGATACGTCATCTAAAAGTGGTTAAATACATAGACTATAATCTAAAGCATAGACTTATTATAACTTCTGTATGTTTAATTTTCAATGGATGATAATGAAATGGTAACCCCGCCTGCGCTAACGGTATACGCTGGCGGAGCACCAGTGAGGGGTGATAAGTGAGGATGAAAGGGCAGGTCAGTTAGCCTATCGTGATGAATACACCTGGAATTCAGCACGACGGTTTCCAGGGGGGACCACGTGGAGGTCGACCTGATAGGGTATATTGCTAGTATTGAGACTGATAGTCTACATTACTAACAATCCCTCTCCCCCCGTTTCTGTATGTTATACTATATGCAAATTTATATATATACGAAGTAGTGGACAAAAACTAGTGTAGTACGATAAATAACTATATAACTAACGGGTAAAAACAGGTTACATTTCTGATAAAAATAAAAAAACAAAATTATAATATTTTTCCTTTTTTATTAAAATTAGTTCTTAAGTTAATTCTCATAGAGGCACTAACTCCCATACACATACATTACATTAAAATACATTCATTTTTTATCCAACACTCAATAGATAGATAAACTTTTTATTTGCATCAAGAGATACACAAAAATGTTAACAATACTTTTAAAAAAAATACAACGCGTTTAACAATATACACAAAAAAAAAAAAATCCAGAACATAATATGTGTACCACAAGTAATGCAAAAAGGCAATAGTCTCCCTATATACTAGCTTTTCCCAAAGTGGACGACAACGCCCCCTTGTGGGCGCTACAGGCCTAAAGGGGGGGCAGTAAGAAACCAGAAAAAAAAAAATGGTGGCGTTGTGTAGAGGCTTGGGGGGTGATTTGTTGATCTTGAAGTAACAGTGGTTTTTAAGTAGGTGAAAAAATGGGGGCGCCAACAAATATTTTCTCAAAATGGGCAATAGACAAAATAAGTTTATACACTGTTTGTATATCTCAGTGTATTGCTTGAAAAATTGAAAATTGAAAAATATATATATATATATATATATAGAGCATAGAATAGACCACCCCTTCCTTTCCCGTGGGGGTCGTAAGAGCCGACTAAGAGAGGGCGAGCGATGGGCAGCAGTGTCCCTGTATATATATATATATATATATATATATATATATATATATATATATTAAAGGATGATATGATGATGATGACCATCTGGCGGTATGAAATACACTTTACTGTCTATTCTCATACCTAAAATGGAGCCATATCAATGTTCATACATGTAGTGCACTAAAATTGTTGGTTTACTAAGAAATTTAATAATTGTTAATTTAGCACTGCACGTACTAGGTCAATGTATCATCCTTACAGTTTTGTATTAATTGCCTACATTTGTATTTAGTATATAAGATGATTTTAATTTCTTAATTTTGTCAGTTATAACTGAACCATTGGAAATACGAGGTCTGTCCGGAAAGTTCGTATAAAAGTGTTCTGGAATGCGAGAAAGAGGAGTGGGGAGGCCAGGTAAGCGCAGGACCCCTTCCTTATGTCCCTAACAATGCTTCAGTTCTGGTCTGACCGCCGTGCGGTAACTGGCTTGTCACGCCATCTGTGAAGTTACCTCTTAACGAAACCCCGTCGGCATGGAGCCCGCTTCCGTTGAAGAGCAGCGCGTCGTAATCAAGTTTCTCTCGAAACTCGGCAAGAATGGCCGTGAAATTTTTGCCGATCTAATTCGATAAGACATCCGGGGAACCACGAACAAAAAAATCAAGAAAATCCCGCTCAAATGTCAAGACAATGTTGATTGTTTTTTTCGATGTTCGGGGATTGTCCATCAAGAATTCGTCCCTCCAGGCCAGACAGTTGATGGAAAATTCTACGTTGATGTGCTCAGACGCCTCAAAGCTCGTGTGGCACGAGTTCGTCCAGAATTGGCGCGAGAGGGGCGTTGGATTCTTCACCACGACAATGCCCCTGCCCACACCTCTCTTGTTGTCCGTGAGTTTTTGAGTAAAAATTCCATTACGGTGACCGAACACGGGGACATAAATGAGATAAAAAAAGCTACGACGGGGCAGCTGAGAAACCTACAACCAGAGGACTTTCAAGGAGCCTTCTCACAGTGGAAACGGCGTTGGCACAAGTGCATTATGTCACAGGGGAGTACTTTGAAGGGGATAAAAATGATTTACCTGAATAATTGTAAAATAAAATTTTTAAAAAACTTTTATACGTACTTTCCGGACAAACCTCGTATACATTTTCATAAACAAATATACATAAAAAATTTCATAATTATCGGTCGAGCCGTTTCGGAGTGCGACCACAAACACCGTGACACGAGACATATATATATATATATATATATATATATATATATATATATATATATATATATATATATATATATATATATATATATATATATATATATATATATATATATATATATATATATATAACATTAAAAAAATTATTACTATATATATTAAAATAATAAAATTGGAAGTCCATCTTTTAATTAAAAGGCACTTAAAGGTACAATATAAAAATAAATCTAAAATTATTTACGAACTATCAGTTCCTGATACCTGTAACAAAATTAATTTCTATTATTACTAAAACATCACCAAAGTATAACTAGGCAATTACAGTAAAAGTTCTTTATTCGCGGTGTATACCTCCGTAAATATACCGTGAATAAAGAAAGAAATAATTTAATCATTGAAGCATGCGACGCGCACAAAACAAGAAGAAAAGAAACAAAAACAATAAAAAAAAAAATAGTATACAAGTAGAAAGCAATTAAATTTGGTTCAATTAAAGTCAAAATTAAAAAAAAAACAACAATAATAATAAATAAACACACAAACAAACAGTAGGATAACTCTTGAATCCAACAACGATATCAATCCAATCTATATATAGAAAGCCGAATCACTTATACAGCGGCAATGGCATTTGACAACATACTTTAAGCATAGTTGTATTAAGGTCTGTTTTACTTTTTTATTAGTCTATTTGCCACCGCGTTTATAAGGGATACTTAATCCCCTTTATTAATATGCAACGATTAGAACCGCGAATATAGAAATCTTTAACCTCGAATATAGGAAGCGTGAATAAAGAGCTTTTACTGTACTAGCAAAACCTACTTTAGGGAGAGACCTATGTTCAGCAGTTGACAGGTAACAGCTGATATGATAATGTTTAATAGAATTATATCACTGATAAGTAACTTATTTATTTATATTTTTTATACAACTTAGAATGGCAAACAAGCTGACGGCCCACCTGATGGAAAGTGGTAACCGTCGCCTATAGACATGAGCAGTAGCATAATGATCATGGACATAACAGAGTATACTGTTTCGCTCATGCGTTGTCATTCCTGAGGACTCAGGTGTTATTTCTATATTTATTATATTTATAATGTTAATTATATATGGTCAAAGTATCCACACAAATGCAAAGTTGCAAATCTTGTTCAGAACCTAGCAGTTAAAAATCTTAAAAAAAAAAAGATTAATAAAAAGAACTAGTACCCAAAATACTGATCTGACTCAGTTTAGCAACAAATGGTAATGCAATCTTTTTAAAATATTTTTTTTTAATTAAAAAATTAATAAAATTTTAATTTTTTTAACTGGGAAACAAGTCTATTTGATTAAAGATTACTTCTATTCAATTCTATTTTACCTTAATCACTGATTTTATATGAAAATATTATACAGTATAATTTGCAACACATTTTAAAAAGGCCCAGGTTCTTAATTCAACTGTCTTGTGTGTATATTAAACGACATCCCCGATTTCGCTCAGATTTCTCTGATTATTTTTGGAATTGACAGCATTTTTTAAAAGATACAACGAAATACACGTCTCACCAATGCTATCAGTATACGCGGATGGGGAGTTAGCCCTAATATATACTGTTAGGTCGACCACCACGCAATCCCCACCTCGAAACTATCGTAGTTAACTTTCCTCGAGTTTGTCATGATGGGACAACTGAACTGACTCCAACTTCCTGGCGTACCACCAGGGTATACTGATAGTACAGACGGGTTGCTATTGCATTTTAACTGGATTAAAATAAAAAAAAACCTTACGTTAACGCTCAGCCATTAACATGTGGGGTATAGCGTCGTCAATGCACACGTCACCCAGGAAGCCCACGAAGAACACGTCCTCGAGGAAGGCGCCCGTGAAGGTCCTCAGCACTGGCAGCTGGAGGAGCAGCGTGGCCAGCCTCTCGTCGTCCGGCTGGCAGATCAATTTTAGGGAGCGTAGTGCTTTCACTTGGTAGTCTTGCAGTTTCCTGGTGAGGAAGTCTGGTGCGCCATCTGTGGGACATTTTGTTTTTAATGGATGATAATGGAATGATAACAACACCTTCACTATCGGTATATACCGGCGGGGCACCAGTGAGGGATGGTAGGTGACGATGAAGTAGGTCAGTTAGCCCATCGTGACGAATTCAACAAGAATTAACCATGATGGTTCCCAGGGAGAACCACGTGGAGGTAGACCTGATAGGGTATATTTTTTTTTATATAACTTAGAATGGCTAATGAGCTGACGGCCCATCTGATGGAAAGTGGTAACCGTCGCCTATAGACATGAGCAGTACCATGGACATAACAGAGTATACTGTTTCGCCCATGATACCCCCATGCGTTGCCATTTCTGAGGACTCAGATTTTATTCCTCTGTACCCTGTAAATTCACGCCATATCCCACCCTTCAAACCGAAATACAGCAAATATATATATATATATATATATATATATATATATATATATATATATATATATATATATATATATATATATATATATATATATATATATATATATTGCTAGCAATGGGGCTAGCAATATAACCTATCATTACTAACAATCCCTTTCCCCCTTCTGTGGGACATATTATATTAGCTAAGTACACGGACAAGTGGAGCATACACGGGTTTGTATCACATCGATTTTATTTTATGGCAAACATTACGTAGGTGATGGACGCAAACACGTATAAAGGGGGAAAAGGATTGTTGGTAATGCGGGACTACCGGTCCCGTTGCTAGCAATATACCTTGTCAGGTCGACCTCCACGCGGTCTCCCCTGAAAACCATCGTGCCGAATTCCAGGTGTACTCACCACGATGGGCTTCACTGGTGGCCTGTCAGCGTATATCGTTGACGCAGGCGGGCTTTTTTTTTATAGGACATCTTTTTTTAAAGTAAAAATGGCATTAATCTACCACAAACGGTCAGACTGGCCCCGCCACGTCTGTCTGTATATTTGCGATGATATCAGAAACTATTGACCGGACTCATTGCATTGCATTCATGCCATTATCATTTACCAACTGTATTTTAGAGGAAATTATGCACTATAACTAGCCGATGGCTAGATACTTCAACCTCAGCTTGCTTATCCTTAAATAAACATAAGTAAATTAATTATTTATATTTATTTATTTATTTTAAATTAGACACACCAACAGTATACATATTATACATAAATAAATTTTTTTGTATAGCATACTAATATGCATACCTATACCAGCATATATATATAATTAAAAAAAAAAAAAAATTAATAAATGTAGTACCTGGTGAGAACAGGCAGAGCGCTCGCAGGTAGGCGTGCTCGCGCTCGGACACGCGCAGCTGCTCCATGGTGGCGAGGAACTGCTGCAGCCGCGCCAGCGACCCGCTGATCTCGCCCAGCCGCTCGTCCGAGTAGTCCGCTATCGTGATCTGAACAGAGGTACCATCGTCACTAACATCTCATCACCCGTTAACTGTTCACTGATGAACATAGCTCTCCCCTTGGGGTTATTTTTTAATGGGTGAAAATGGTATGGTAACCCCGCCTGCGCTAACGGGATACGCTGGCGGAGTACCAGTGAAGGGTGATAGATGAGAATGAAAACAGGTCAGTTAGCCCGTCATGATGAATTCATCAGGAATTAACCATGATAGTTTCCACGGGGAATCGCGTGGAGGTCGACCTGGTTAGGTATATTGCTAGCAATGAGATTTTCAGTCTCCATTACTAACAATCCCTTTCCCCCCGTCTATGTTTGTATTTATTATAATTATATTATATAATAATTATGTAGGCGTATGTATGAGTAGCCTATATATTGATAACCTTGAATGACAGGGGGGGAAAGGGATTGTTAGTAATGGAGACCGAGAATCCCATTGCTAGCAATATACCCAATTAGGTCGACCATATTCTCACTCATTAAAAAAAAAAAAACTGTTTCACTGTAGAAACACGAATGGGACAGAGGTAGCCAAGCAATCGAGTTTTGTACAGTCTCCCTCTGGTCATATGTTATAAGGTGGTGGAGCACTTTGCCTCCTCTATTCTGTATTGTGTACCTCGGCGGCGTCGTGGTCCGCGCGCGGCTCGGGCTGCCGCCGGCCGAGCTGCGCGCGGCGGCGCAGCTCGGCCAGCAGCAGCGCGTGCATGCGCGGCAGCAGCGCGCCCAGCGACAGCGCGGCGCCGTGCCGCGCCAGCGCCAGCACCAGCAGCTCCGGCCAGCACTTGCGCAGCAGCGCCGCCTGCACCTCCGCGCTGCCGCAGCCACAGTACACGTTACATTATTTTAATCTCTGTCTTGCACCACTACTGTCCACTCACTACTTGCTATGCCACTGTTTTTTTTTTTTATACAATTTACAATGGCAAACAAGCTGACAGCTCACCTGATGGAAAGTGGTAAACGTCGCCTATAGACATGAGCAGTACCATGGACATAACAGAGTATACTGTTCGCCCATGATATACACCATGCGTCGCTATTTCCGAGGACTCAGGTTTTATTTCTCTATACCCTGTAAATTCACGCCATGTCACACCCTTCAAACCGAAACACAACCATGCAACCACAACTGCTTCACGGTTGAAACACGAATGGGACAGAGATACCCAAACAATCGACTTTTGTACAAAGTCTCCCTCTGGTAGTGTCCCTGTGTTAGGTTGACTGGAAGAAATCTCTTTTAATGATAAGTTCGCCGCCCTAGACGGACGTATGTCGACCAAATAGGCGACGTGCTGAAGAAGGGCCAAACTAAAAGTACTCATTACCGACGAGCGTGTATGAAAAGATTGATGAATGTGGAAGAAGCGGTAGAGGCTTGTTTGAATCGAAGCATTTGGCGTTCCATTGTTTCTGCCTACCCTAATGGAAAGCGTAACAGATATGTATGTATGTATTAACATTGTTATTAACTTATTGTTGTTACTATATGTTTTAGTGCAATATATATATATATATATATATATATATATATATATATATATATATATATATTTAGTAAAAAAATCTATAGCAATAGGGACTAACGATGAGGTTAGTCCCCATTGCTATACATAAGATAAATACATAAACTTTTTATTTGAACCATTTATGACACACGTAAATTTACAAATGAGTTTCAATCAATATAATCAAATTATTTACACTTATCAAAATATACAACAAAAGATACAATATGGTTTCGCCATGTGTGTCGCAGTGACCCAAATAGGCTACAGCTCAGTGATGGTTTTGCTTAAAGCAAAGCATTGATTTTCAGCTGCAGCCTGAAGTTAGGTATGTTATCAGTACACCCTATCAAATCGACCTCCACGCGGTTCCCCCTGGAAACCATCGTGACTAATTTATCGTTGAATTCGTCACGATGGGCTAACTGACCTGCCTTTCCATCCTCACCTATCACCCTTCACTGGTGCTCCGCCAGCGTATCCCGTTAGCGCAGGCGGGGTTACCATACCATTTTTATCCATCAAAAAAAAAAAACAATACTTATCAGGAGGAACCGAGTTGAACTCAACCTGATAGGACATATTGCTAGCAATTAGACTATTGGACATTTTAGCAATCTATACTCCACTACATCTTTAAAACCGCGCCAACAAATTTGATATCAATTGAATATTATAATCCTGTATTTAGTGGTACTGACGGCAGGTGGTGCGCGGCGGGCACGGCCAGCAGCCAGCGCACGCAGGCGGCCAGCAGGCGCGCGGCCGCCTCGCACGCCGCGTGCAGCCGCAGGTGCGCCGGCGCCGCCGCCGGCAGCTGCAGCGCCAGCCGCTGCGACGCCGCCGTGCTCAGCAGCGGGCACTCCAGCGTCGCCGCCGCTGCACACCACACAACGTCACCAACCACCAACGTAGTCACATTTTTTTTTATACAACTTAGAATGGCTAACGAGCTGACGGCCCACCTGATGGAAAGTGGTAACCTTCGCCTATAGACATGAGCAGTACCACGGACATAACAGAGTATACTGTTTCGCTCATGATACCCCCCATGCGTTGCCATTCCTGAGGACTCAGGTGTTATTCCTCTGTACCCTGTAAATTCACGCCATATCCAAGTCAACTGCTTCACAGTTGTAATTCAGTGTATCTTCGATCACGAGAATATCTATTAATGCGACCCGCCGAATATGACCCATCACGTAAGGAGAGTTTAACAGAGGAAGACTTTGAACAAATATTATTTGCTTGGGCACCTCTGTCCCATTCGTGTTTCTAGCGTGAAGCAGTTGCGTTTGCATGGCTGTGTTTCGGTTGGAAGGGTGGGATATGGCGTGGATTTACTGGGTACAGAGGAATAACACCTGAGTCCTCAAGAATGGCAACACATGGGGGGATCATGGGCGAAACAGTACTCTGTTACGGCCATGATAGTACTCATATCTATAGGCGTCTGTTAGCACTTTCCATCAGATGGGCCGTCAGCTTGTTTGTCATTCTAAGTTGCATAAAAATAATGTAAAACGTATATGTTTTGTTTCGTTTACACAAAACAAAAATGGATAAAGAAGTGGATATATACAACAGCGAATGAAGCAATCATTTATTATTGTTATTATTAATTAAAAAAAAAAAAAGCTTACAACTAAAATCACTAGAATGGTAATAGCCAATTAAAACCAACATAAATTTCAAAATAAAAATTTTTGACATTCTCTGTTCTAATAATATTGCTACAAGTAAATATTATTTTACAAAAAGTAAATTGAATACACAAAAAAAAAATTGTTCCATAAAAAAGTAAATTTAGTTCCACAAAAAGAAAATTTAGTTCCACAAAAAGTAAATTAAGTTCCACAAAAAGTAAATTTAGTTCCACAAAAAGTAAATTTAGTTCCATAAAAAAGGAGATTTAGTTCCACAAAAATATAAATTTAGTTTCAATCGACTCACGCTCATTCTGCTGTGTCTCGGCGGCGGCGCTGTGCAGCGCTGACATCTGTACGTCGGGCGGTGTGGCGCCCGTGTACGCCTGTATGTAGTCGTTTATAGCACCTGCCAATAATAAACATGTGTTTACCAGAGGGAGACTGGAGAAAAAATTCAGACAAACTGAAGGGCTCGTTTTGTAAGTCGTTTAAAAATGAGTTTACCAGAGGGAGACTTTGTACAAAAGTCGATTGCTTAGGTCGTCCCATTCGTGTTTCTACCGTGAAGCAGTTGTGTTTGCATGGCTGTGTTTCGGTTTGAAGGGTGGGATATGGCAGTGAATTTACTGGGTACAGAGGAATAACACCTGAGTCCACAGGAATGTGCGCTTAACGTAATAGACTGAATTTATTTTGCAAGAATGTAGGTGATTTTCAGATAAACGTGATGAAAATTACAGAGGGAGAATGTCTAAGAGAAACTGTGCAAATATTTAGTCGTTACTGAAATTGTAATGGGTATATGTTTTTAATTTTTTTTTTACAAATATTATTCGAACTCTCACATTGTAATTGCATTATTAATAAAGTGTGACAATGTCGCCATTATATGGACATTTTCAAAAACAATTGAACATTTTGGAATGTTTCTAATCGATTATTTAAATAATGAAAATTGTATGCAAAAAAAGAACAATTTCAATTGAAGCAAAACCAGTTATTTTGATTCAAAAACTAAACCACTGAATCGATTTTGATAAAACTTCTATGAAAACCAATCTGTAAGTATATCCTTTTAGATAAAATGAGAATTTTCCAAACCCATCTAAAACTGACGGAATTTTGAGATATCAAATTGTATATTTTTATTTCTACATTAAAGCAAAGACATACCACAGATACTGCCTTAACACAAGTATTAAAAAAATACAATTAAATTGAAGTTTACCATCTTTTTAAAGTCGATTAAAAAATGCTTTGCTCGTGAATCAAAATATTATAACGGTTTGAACACTCTTAATATACTTAAGGATATATCAACCACTTCAGCTTTAATACTCACCAAACTGTCCCATTTTGAAGAGGTTCTTCGCGAGCTGCGTCTGAAGCATGAGGTGTTGCCGACGGGCGCCCTCTATGTCGTTAGCGTTGCCAGGGTTTAAATACGGCGGCACTATGGGAAATTATAGTTCTGTACTAGCTGCTTAAGTTATACCACTTCAAGGGAATAAAGACATAACTACATAAAACAATGGTACACAATTATAATACCTTTTGTAATATAAATTAAAAATGGCTTTAAAATTTTATATATATATATATATATAATAATATAATATATAAATATCATAGTATAATAATATATATTTATTTATTTATTAAAAATAATTATAACATTATGACAGCAAAAACCAAATAAATGTTATAAAACTAATGTGCTAACATACAAAATTATAGTTAAAGTATTTAACCCGACTCCAAATATCTCTGAGCCGTTCCTTATATCCTTGGCAGGCTACTACTAAAATATATAATATCAGACATATCGGTAATATCTGTATATCAATTGTCGAATCTATATATCGAATGCAAACACAACACTTCAGATCGATTGCACCTATTTGGTTAATTCTTTTTTTGTTAAATTTGTAACTGTCATGACAAGGTTTGTATGAAAGAAAATATTTGAAAAATCATATGAAAAAATGAAAAAATTGGATTAAAGTCTCCATATAAAAAGGAACTGCTAAGGTAAGATTTGTTCAAATTTTTTTCATTAGTACATCCATGCGACGACGGGGAGGGCAGCCAGTTTAGATATGTATATTTGTAAAAATTTGGATGGATTTTGATGAAATTTGGTATGGTGGTATCTTTGAGTATAATTCCTAGATTCCTGCTGATACCAGAGGGAGACTTTGTACAAAAGACAACCAAGCCCCGAAGCCCCAAAGAATGAAATATGACAGTGAAATTACAGGGTATGGAGGCATAATATACTCCCTAGGAATGTCCACACATGAGGAGCAGATGTATAGGCGGTGGTTACCACTTTCCATCAGGTGTCAGGTTGTTTACCATTCTAAGTATTTTAAAAATGCTGGTGAATTTGTAACGATTGGCCAACCAAACAGCGTTACTCACCTGGATTCCCCTTGTTGAAAGCCACAACGCGCTGCTGCTTTCGAGATCTGCGTGATACACATATTATATTACTAGATAGATAGATAGATAGATAGCAATTTATTTGGCGCACACAAATTACAATAAAAAAAAACATACACGTAATACACAGCAAAAGAGACAAAAGAATAAAAATAAAAAAAGACAAATAAAAAAACAAAAATACAAAAACAAAATACATAATCTAACAATCTCTTTTGTTAACATTCCTTCATGCCGAACGCGTCTGACGATATTCTGCTCTTCTTTCATATACATACATACATACATACACATATATATATATACATATATATATACACATATACATACATATACATACATACACATACATACTCGGATTGATCTACGTGATACACATATTATATTACTAGCCGTTTCCTGCGGCATTGCCTGCCTTTAACTATGTAGTTCTCATATATCATTTCCATTGGAAATCTTCATGAATCCAGTCTTGTATTGTTATACTTAAATGATAATTACGTATCTAATACTTTCATAAAGTTTCAGCCAATTCTGTCTGGTCAATTATATTATAACACACATTTCTGAGATTAACGCGCACAAACGTACAGATAATGAGACAAAAATTCTAAAAATCATTGTTACTGCCCATCCCTCGCTCTCCCTTAGTCGCTTCTTACGACAACACGGGATAGGAAGGGGTGGCCTATTCTTTTTTGATGAATCGTGTCGTATGAGCGCACCTGTGTAGTTTGCGACTGTCCGAGCCCGAGGAGTTTGGAGTAGGCGGTCTGGCGGTCGTGCAGCTGCCCCTCCCGCTGTTCGCCCTTCACCTTGTCCACTATGGGCTTCCGCTCGTGCTGGACCGCTGGCGGCAGAGTGCAAGAATTACTGCTCATCGGATGTTCGCGGTTGTGCGACATATCTATCGCAATTGTGAGATAAATTTATGTATATACAGAACTAATAATAATAGAGTATACCATACTGATACCCCGTGACAATTTTAATAAAACTAAATTAAATTTGCCGCTAAAAGAACTGTCATTATTTCAGATTTTGCACCACAAATTGTGAGATAAATTTATGTATATACAGAACTAATAATAATAGAGTATACCATACTGATACCCCGTGACAATTTTAATAAAACTAAATTAAATTTGCCGCTAAAAGAACTGTCATTATTTCAGATTTTGCACCACAAATTGTGAGATAAATTTATGTATATACAGAACTAATAATAATAGAGTATACCATACTGATACCCCGTGACAATTTTAATAAAACTAAATTAAATTTGCCGCTAAAAGAACTGTCATTATTTAAGATTTTGCACCACAAAAACACACGCAACTCAAACGTGGCAAAATCACTTATTTTAATTTAAATAGTTTACTTTACTATTGTACTTTATTACTGAGTCGATTTTTTTTTCAAATTTTCTTGTGACCAATTTGATCTTTCTTGAATCTTTTTAGATAAAAAAAAAAATTGAATTTTCCAAATCGGTTTATAACTGTCAGTGTGATGTTTGTGGGTAAATCACTAATGTGAAATATAATTGTAAACGTGTACCTACCCTCAAAACCCGAATTGTCAGCCTGTTGCCGACATTAAAAACGTATAGCGTGATAAACTGTGTATATTTTTAAACAATATACCTAAACAGTATACTCGGATTAAACTATGAAAAAATACCATTGAATAGAGAACCTCCTTTTTTTTTGAAGTTGGTTAAAAATCAAAAATATTTTTTAACATCTCATAAATGGAATATGTGACAGTGAATATGCGTGTTTTATTGAAAAGTTTTAAAATTATTTTGAAATCAAGAACAAACATCTGAATATAATTAAAAGGAGGTATCCAAAGCCGTGAAGTTATCTTAAAAAAAAAAAAAAAGACTAGAAACTTAATTTATACAAACAAATATGCCCGCACTACAGAAGTTGTCAATATGTATATACATTAAGCCTTCTTATAAGAAGGGGGAGGGGATTGTTAGTAATGTTTAATTATCACGTGAACCTTCTAGAAACAATCGTGGTAATTAATGAAAATTAACGGGATCGGTAATAGGAGTCGGTGCTAGTAGTTGTCACAAAAAATAAATCTTTTTTATATTTTTAATATCAGTTTGGATAAACCATAAATAAAAAAAATATCAAAACCATGGGTCAACTGACCTAAGTTCATCTTCTCTCATCCCATAACTAGTGCCTAGAAAGCATATGCCGCTAATGTAGGTGGGGTCACAATTCTATTTTTCTCTCATTTAAAAAACCACTGTGCCACGAAGATGGGTAAATTTTATAAGCAGTAAAGGTACTCACAGTCGCTCCGCATGCCGCACGCTAAGCACTTCTGAAGGCGGCAGTACTGGCATCGATTGCGGTGGTGCTTCGTCACCTCACAGTTCATGCTGCCCCGACACTGGTAGCCTAGTTTCTTGCGGATTGAACGTTTGAAGAAGCCTTTGCAGCCTGAGAATTAGATTTTCAGTTATCATTTACTAAATTAGCAACACCAAAGTATAAATGTGGCTTGGTATACAATGCAGAGATTTGGAAGTTTAGGCTGCGAGAGAATATGTCCCATAACTTTGCCGCAGTCTTTTTAATGACTATATATGTGCTTTACAAAACCCTAACAAGGTTCATATGGGGGGAAAAGGATTGAGAGCAATGGGGTCTAACAGTTCCATTGCTAGCAATGTACCATATCAGGTTTAAAAAGACTTTATGAATTAGAGTAAACCTTAATTCAAAATAAAAATAAAATGTCAAAAAAACAATAAAAGTTATTTCTATTTGGTAATCCTATGTGAACCAGAGGGAGACTTTGTACAAAAGTCATTTGCTTGGGCACCTCTCTGTCCTATTCGTGTTTCTACCGTGAAGCAGTTTGTTTGCATGGCTGTGTTTCTGTGGGATATGGCGTGAATTTACAGGGTACAGAGGAATAACACCTGAGTCCTCAAGAATGGCAACGCATGGGGGTTATATTGGGCGAAATAGTATGTGTGTGTACTGATATACCGTGTATGTGTGTAGTTATGGTACTGCTCATATCTATAGGCGACAGTTACCACTTTCCATCAGGTGGGCCGTCAGCTTGTTTGCCATTCTAAGTTGTATAGAAATACTAAATAAATGTTTTTCTACTTCTAAAACACAACATCTGATTTATACAGAAATGTGTATGACATAAAAAAAAAAAAACTATTTCCATCAATGGAACAGTAATGGTATAAACATACCTTCACAACTGATAGCACCATAGTGCCTCCCGGAAGCACGGTCACCACAGACAATACACAATTCCAATCCACCAACTTCTCCGCCACCACTGAACTTCATCTCCATCTGGTCTTGCCCATCCATATTGAGTATATATTATGCTAGAATGAAAGATACAATTTAATGAAATTAACATACAGATACAAGTAATGTTTTCTGGTTTAGTTGTAAGCACTTCCAAATATGTAAGTAAGAAGAAATAAAGTAAGTTAGCCGTTTGGTTCAGGCATAGAATAGACCACCCCTTCCTTCCCTGTGGGTGTTATAAAAGCCGACTAAGGGAGGGTGAGAAATGGGCAGCTGTGTCTCTCTTAAAACATCTGTAAAGCCTGACTGTGATTGCCGTACCGCCAGCCAAGCGTAGCAACTACTGGAAAAACCCCCCTAGGAGGAGGCTTATGTTCAACAGTGGACTGTTAAAGGCTGAGAAGATGATGACTTTAAAGTACAGTGGCAGCGTATCATTAGAAATTAGCAGGCTTACTCTTGAATCTAATAAATCTATTCATCCAATCTAATGTAGATGACAATTTTGTACCGCACTCATGAAGCAACAGATAGGAATGAAGTAAACATTGAGATCTGTTTAAAATAGTTTGCATTGACAAGTTGTACTAATAAGCATCTGTCAGAACAGTATGGAAACCTAAGATGGAAACATTACATCACTAGTTAGACTACTGCATGGGGTTCTTCAAAAGGGGGGTAATGAGGTTTCTTCAGGGTCGGCAACGCGCATGTAATACCTCTGGTATTGCAGGTGTTCATAGGCTACGGTAACCACTTACCATCAGGTGGGCCGTATGCTTGTTTGCCACCTCAGTGGTATAAAAAGAAACACATTACATCACTGGTATTGCAATTCAAGTCCATGAAACATTTCAATTCCAATATAATTCTATTTTTAGAATTTATTTCAAGAGTAACCTTACAGATTTGTAAACAGTTCTATAATTTTCTAAATAAACTTAATATTTTGTTTTTTCAATACTCTAATTATTATAAAGAGAGAAGATTTACACAGTATGTTAATTAGTGTAATTAATTACTTAAAACTAGTGATAGTATTCACTAATAGGGTCTGCAAAAAAATTATATCATCTGCTAAAAACTAAAAAAAAAAATTAAATTTTCAACCAAACTAACCAACTATACATGTACCAACAGCACTGTATAATAATAGGTACCTTGATGGGAATTAAAAAACAGGTTTTACATTTAAATGTAATTTTTTTATATATATTAATGAACAATGTTAAAATAGTAAAATTAAACATTACAGCTACACTGTTTCATATTATTTGAGTTTCTATAATTCAAATATTAGACTACTTTATATTACTAATTATTGTTAATTATCTAAACAAATTACTTTGCAATTTACTAACCCAAGTAACAAGTTAATAATTTATTAATAACTTTTCGTAAGTACAAAACTTATTGTTTATATTTTTATACGTACAAAAGTAACAATGTAAGTACTTATAAAATAATTGACAAACTTAATATTGAAGTAAAATAAAGGAAACATTTGTATTACATAGTTGGAGTAACTTAGATCTAGTTTATAGTGTTGTATCAACAAGTATACGCACTTTCAAAGTCAGAAGTTGTCTTACAAAACAAGATCAAACACCTTTCACTTTTTGGATGATTTTGTTTCGAAATCAAGGAACGTTGAACTCGAGTTTACTTGAGTACGCGAGAAAAATCAAGTAAATGCCGTCAATATCGTATCTGCGGGATAACTGTGCTCGGTCAGATGTAAAATTAATGTCATATACAGTTATGTAGTAAGAAATCCTGTGACGCTCTTACCTTGTGTCTTGTACGATTAGGATTTTCTTGAATTTTTCGATCTCAACGATTATATTAACGTTACTAAACTAAATAGTGTAGTGTCTCTTTATCTGACTATTCATTTTAAATACAAATTAATTAAAAAATTGAATAAATCAGAAGGAACAAAAATAAAAAGAAATCATAAAAAGAAAGAAATATTTAAATGACAAACACAGAGTATGTAACAAGTAACATTATAAGAGTTGGCATCAGTCCAGTGTGACCATTTCATTAATAGCGAATGTGCCACAGATTGGGTTAAAATATGCCACACTTGCCGTGAAAATTGCCAAAAATATGCCTACAAGGAAATGAAAAAATATACACATCGAATTCAATGAAATTTCTTTAATATACAAAAATATTTACTCTATGTATCCATATTTGCCCCGAAATTTTGTTTTTAATTTTCAAGTACATCTTTTTGAACATGTTTTTAGTTGGTTTAAAGAAGAAACAGTCTTCCTATATCTCCTCTTTTGTGATAATTATACTCGTAGCTGAAACATGTTGTTTTAGGAACCTATTCCTTATTTTTGTTTCGATTGAGAGAATATTTTTTCGCACGAAGCATTTGACATGGGCAAACATAATAAAGCTTTTACGATATTTGTAATATTTGGATAGTTTGTAGCCTTATTCGCGGTCTGAATTTTTCCAACAGTCCCCCAAAATTTGTCTACTCTCAAAATTGTGCTGGTGGTGCTATTTACTCCTGATTCTAACAAATCTCTTAGATTTTTATCAAATTTAATTTGTTGAAGTTCGTCATCATTTTTTTTAATGTTGTTTACATCCATTATGTTGGGAAAATTCTTCGCAATCTTTAAAATTAATGCAAAATTGTTGTAAACTACATGCTGTGTATCCAATATTGTAAATCTTTGAAAATATTGCTTATTGGGAAACGTGTCTTTAATTAAGTATAATGTTCAATGAGAAATGTTTGCATTCTTTGAAGAAATGATTGGATTTCAGGTTTTAAACTCACGTCTATCGATAAGCGATCGATTTCAGAGCTCATGTTAATGCCTAAGTAAATATCATTTAAGAGCAAAAAGTTCACGATGGATTTCGGATCAATGGAAAGTGGATTTGTGGTTTTCGAATAATTTCCTTTCATATAACAACTTAAAAAGTATGTAGGTATATACTTCAGAAATGGCTTTGAATGCTGTGTGGACTATTGTGTAATCTCCTTGACATATGGTGTTTAGTTTCTTGACTATTTGCAATACATAATTCAGGGCATAAAAATAGAGTTTATATATTTTGTCATTCAAACTATTGAACAAGAATTCTGATGAATTGTTGTCTTTCAAAAACTGAAACTGAAAAAAAGTTTAAGGGCATCCCATTACTTGCAATTTGTTTGACGTAAGCATGCAAACATAGCCGCAACAAACAATTTTATAATGACTTAAAATTTTGTGCTTTTCAGTGCTAACTAAAACACAATATTTGACAAATTCTCTTTGTCTTTTGCTACTATGTAAAAAATATCCGTAAATTTCCAATAATATTTGTTTAATAGCCCGTGGTATGGTATTTTTACTAGTATGCGATGAACACAAACCGGTAGAATGGCAGACACACTTATTAAGCGTGCAATATAGTTTTACATGTCTTATTTTTGTAACACACAAAACATACATATAATGGATTTTAGTTAATTTTATAAGTTTAGCAAAATTTGTAATATTACTCTACTATTGTATGAACAAACACGACATGTAGAAAAATTATTTAAGTTAAAAAGTATACCTAAGATTTATTAAATCTCTTGATCGCTTTGCTTTCACATAGTAATTAATCTAAGGTCTTTGTCAGTCAGCTACTGTAGCCATAGATTAAAGACCTTGCAGTTGTCAAATAAAAAAAATGTTTTTATGTTATGTTAAGTATTGTCAAAATCATGTTGTCAACCTAACCTAACCGCGTGTACATTTATTTCCATTTATTTACAGTGGAATTTTCTTTAACAATAAAAATTTCGAAATACATGTTTGTTACAAGAATTATTGGACATGGCTTCCACTAAAGTGGATAGTTTTATCGACAAATTTAACACCTTTACTCAGAAACCCGTGAATTTTCTTTCAGTTCAAGATGATTTGAAAGAGGACATCAAAAATCTGGTGAAATCTTTGTACGACTTCACAAAATCGCAAGAAGGTAGGAGTAAAGGAAAGAAGAAAAGTGCCTTAAGAAAATTAATAATTCAAGATTTCGATGAAGAGCAGGTGTGGCAACAAATTGAACTTCAAAATACTGAATGTTGTGAGAAACTTGTATGGGAAGTAGCTAATGTTGTGTCTAATAAAGATGGCCTGTTGTTCCCTGTGGAGGTTCAACGAGACTCCAAAGAGGAAAAAATAGAAAATGACAGTGAAAATGAATCAATGGACCATGAGTCTGTTGACACTGAGGAAAATGAACAGCCTGATTTTGAAGAGCCAAAAAAGATGTTAAAATCTAATAAGAACAAAACTAAACAATCTATCGTAGATGATAATTTTTTCAAACTGAGAGATATGGAAAATTTTTTGATTAATGAAGAAAAGAGAGACAGTTCTAAAGGTAAAAAAGACAAAACTGCAGAGAGCGATGAAGAGTCAATAGATTTGTTTGAAGATATTGATGATGAGGATTTGGATGAAGAAGATGGTGGTAAGGATATGATGTACTCTGATTTTTTTGATGGGCAGGATGAGGAACAGGATGATATCAATGATGATGCAAATGCTGAATCTGATGAGAGTAGTCTGGTTGAAAACAGTAAAAAGATTGCTGCTGATTCAACAGATGATGATAATGACGAAAGTGATAATGAAGCAGCAGAGAAAATAGTAAATGGAAAATTAGATAATGAAAGAAAGTCAGAATTTGAACAGAGACAACAGCGTTTACAACAAACTATAACTAGATTAGAAGAGAAGACATTAAGAGAAGCTCCATGGCAACTCAAAGGTGAGGTAGATGCGTCAAAGCGGCCTCAAAACTCGTTATTGGAAGAGGTTGTGGACTTTGATTTAACAAGTCGGCCACCTCCCATCATCACTGAACAAACCACAGTAACTCTAGAAGATATTATAAGGCGTAGAGTCAAAGACAAAGCTTGGGACGATGTTGTAAAAAAAGAAAAGCCTGTTGATGACCAGTTATCGTTCCGAAAAAATGAGGTACTGGATCAGTCCAAGAGCAAGCTTAGTTTGGCTCAAGTGTATGAAGCTGAGTACTTGAAGCAGAAGCAGTCTGCCTCAGGGGAAGTAGAAGAAGAAAAGGAGCTGGAGAGTCACACTGAAGTTAGGGATGCAATGAAAAAATTGTTTGCAAAATTAGATGCTCTATGTCATTATCATTACACACCAAAAGCACCACAGGCAGAAGTTAAAATTGTTAGTAATACTCCTGCCATCTCAATGGAAGAGGTGGCTCCAGTTGCTACAAGTGATGCTGCATTATTAGCTCCAGAAGAGGTGAAGAAGAAGCATAGAGGAGAGTTTATAAGTAAAGAGGAGAGGACACAAACAGATAAGAATAGAGAGAGAAGGAAAAAGAAAAAGCTACAAAGACAGAAGGGAAAAGTAATGAAAGTGACAGAGCACAGAAACACAAAGAAGGGTATAGAAGCTAATGATAAATCATTAAAAACTTCGAAGGCCTTCTTCCAGCAACTAAATGATGACTCGTCTAGTTTAATTAAAAAATCTAATAAAATGAAGCATAATCCTAAAAAAAATAAAGGACAATAAAATGTAAATAAATTGTTCTTGTTTTAATGATTATTGTATTTATTTGCTAAATAGTTACATTATTTTTGGGTGAATAAGACATGAGTTCATCATGACCTGATAATCTTTCACTAGTACTCCCCTAACATTATTTAATTAATAAAAAAATACCACTTAGGATTAAAGTTGTGAAAATTCAAATAAAAGTATATAATTATATACAACATGGAATGGCAAACTAGTTGTTTTATATTTAAATAAAATTGTCCCTCAACTGTAGTGCAGATTACTTGCGTAAAACAAAGAATTGATTTGTATAAGATTGGGGATGTTATAAACGGAATGAGGTTCAGGTTAAATCGTCGATAGTGATAATAATAAACGCGGGAAAATAGCCGAAATGGCGGGAATGAATTAGATGGCAAATCCAAACGAACTGCAAATGTTTAGAAATCTAGATGTTACATCTGCATAGGGATGTACCCGAAAAGTTACTCCATCTGAATCCCAGTAAGTCTTCTTTTTTTAATGGTTGAGAATGAAATAGTAACCCCGCCCGTCCTATGGGTATACGCTCGCGGGGCGCTTAGTGAGGGATAATAGGTGACGATGAAAGCAGGTCAAGTAACCCATCGTGACGAATTCCACAGGAATTAACCACGATGGTTTCCAGGGAGAATCGCGTGGACCGACCTGATTGGGTATATTGCTAGTAATTGGGCTGTTAGATCCCATTATTAAAAATCCTTTTTATCCTTCCCAGTAAGAGTCATCACAAACCATGGTTTTGTTAAATAGAGCAGACAGTTTATTAAATGTTATTTTTAAATCAAATATAATGTATCTAATCACAAGATAAATCTGGTGTACTATAAAATCTAGACATTTTATATGCCTCTACGTATTTGTTTATGCCTATTTTATTTTTATGTGTATGTTGTTTTTTTATACAACTTAAAATGGCAAACAAGCTGATGGCCCACCTGATGAAAAGTGGTAACCGTCGTCTATAGACATGAGCAGTACCATGGACATAACAGAGTATACTGTTTCGCCCATGATACACACCATGCGTTGCCATTCCTGAGGACTCAGGTGTTATTCCTCTGTACCCTGTAAATTCACGCCATATCCCACCCTTAAAACATCCATGCAAACACAACTGCTTCACGGTAGAAACACGAATGGGACATAGGTAGCCAATCAAACGACTTTTGTACAAATTCTCCCTCTGGTAAAATATGTATGTGAATAGGTATGTGAAGGAGACAATTTATTGTTATCAAAAGTAGGTACGTTAATTTTTAGTTATGGTTCTTTAATGTTTTCGTTGGCTGTAAATATGCAACATAATGGTTAGACTTTATAAACAAACGTATACAGTAGATAAACGTAACATATGGTGCAGGGCTGTCTCCCGATGCCGCCGCGGTAAAAGTTGTAATTATCATCCGCAAAAATAGAAGCGCCTAATATTGTGAGTTTTCACTGGCTGGCTACAAATTGCTATGAGTTTTTTTGTAGGGGCTGCAAAATTTAATTCGCTTCCAGCTTTTCGGAATTTTAGATAATGTATCTTATTATATAATTTTTATTGATAGAATATTAAATAACAAAAATACCTTAAATATGTATTCAATTAAATATACATATAGGAATATTGCTCATTATTTTTTATATCTCAAGCTAAGCCAACATTAGATGTCCATTAGTTGCTATATAAATTGTATGTTACTATTAAGATTTAAACTAGTAAGATCTTTGTGGTAAATAGAGCGAACGTTTAAAGTGCCCAATATTGAAGATAAAGCCGGTGGAGTGGAGGCAGTGGAGCACTGCGGTGATCCTACAGCGCGCAGCAAGTGCGCCGCGATTTAATCCCGCTGTAGCAGTCGGTCACAAATTTATAATTTGTACAATTACCCGCGCCCCAGAGACGGCACGCGTTGGCTACAGGCATACATGGAGTCACTTCTTTTATATTTTTTAAATGTAATCTTTTTTAATGGACTTTTATCTTTTTTTTGCTATTAAGAGATGATTAATTTTGTTTTTATTTTTTAAACATTATGGATGGTTTTTTTTTTTAATTTAATTTTGTTTTTATTTTTGTTATGGATGGTTTTTTTTTCAACATAAGGTACTATAAAAGAATGGTAACCTCACCTGCGTTATTAGTATACGCTGGTGGGGTACCAGACAGGTATGATTGATCAAGATAAAATGAATTCAGTTCACTTATCACCTGACTTCTCCAAGTAGAGCAAAAAAAATATATTTCCAAAATATATATAATGGTCTTAAAATACTAATAGATACAAGAATTTAAAAATCTTGATAATACCACAGAATTAATATTATATACTTTATTGATATTCGTATATAATAAATCTGTAGAGAGAAGCACTCATTTTAACTTCTGTACAATGAAATATATTCCCGCGATCCAAAATAACTATCAGGGGGGTGATTAGTGATCGATACTGATGCCAAAAATGTAATCAGTAAAATTTTTGTCTGTCTGTCTGTATGTTCGTTATAGAAACAAAGACTACTCGACGGATTTTAACGAAACTTGGTAAAATTATTCTTCATACTCCTGGGCAGATTATAGTATACTTTTCATGACGCTACGATCAATAGGAGCAGAGTAGTGAAGGGAAATGCTAGGAAAACGGGAGAAGTTACTTCATTTTTAAGCTTTCGTCGCGTGTGCAGCCTTAATGGCCACTTTTTTAAATGTAAAAATGTCCACCCGTGCGACGCCGGGACGGACCGTTAGTACTAAATAAAATCCGCGGTTATCCCTCATTTAGGATATAATAGAGGTCATACACCTTCTATTTATTGTTTTTATTTATTTATTTATTGTAAAGTAACAAAGTCGTCTCCATAGTGTCACAGTTCCAAGTACCAGGAGAGCATCGGCGCGCGGTGGTAGGAGCTAGCAGACAAATAAATTCAGCCGCGATAAGCGACGTATAAATCAGGCGTAGAGATCCAACGCACTGCACCCGCACCCCGCGGCGGCTACGGAAAAACTCGCGCTGCTGACTTATCTATTGTATTAAGTTCTTTACAACTTTTACGAATTATTCCAAGCCTTTCTGCAATCCTAGTAGCATTCTTATAAAATTAGTAAAGAAAAATAATGAATAAAACGGGTTTCTTTAAAAAAAAAATAGTAGATAAAATACAACGACCCCATACAGTGCAAATGCAGTGAAGGAAGTTCCCCCATTAGATGGAATGATGACCTCAAAAGTATTGTAGGGAGTCAGTGAATGCAGGTGGCTCAGAACTGTTCCTTATGGTAGTCTATGGGGGAGGTTTACGTTCACATAATGTCTGAGATGATGATGATGATGATGAGGGGATATCTTGGGTGTCATGTGGCAAAAGCAAAGTCTATGTTCAGTTGTGAATAGTGAACGGTTCAAAGGATGATCCCGATGCAAAAAAAATATATTTTTTATTTAAAATTTTTTTTTTATGCAACTTGAAGTGGCAAAGACGCTAATGCCTCATTTAATAGAAAGTGGTAATTATCACCAATAGACATGAACGATACTACCTAGCAAACTATAGATAATGGGGGTAATCAGAGCATTTAAACCAGAGGGAGACTGTACAGAATTCGTTTGCTTGGTTACCTCTACCCCATTCGTGTTTCTGCCGTCAAATAGTTGTGTTTGCATGGCTGTGTTTCGGTTTGAAGGGTGGGATATGGCAGTGAATTTACAGGGTACAGAGGAATGACATCTGAGTCCTCAGGAATGACAACGCATGTGGGTATCATGGGCGAAAGCGTCTGCATATCCATACGCTGCCATAACAAACCGAAACAGCAATGCAAGCATAGTCATCGGCAGAAACACGAGTGTGACAGCAGACGACTTTTGTATGGACATATGTGTTTTTTTTTTATTTTAACCCATACACGACCGGGGGGAAAGGGATTGTTAGTAATGGAGACTGAGAGTCCCATTGCTAGTAATATACCAAACCAGGTCGACCTCCTCGCGGTTCCCCCTGGAAACTATCATGGTTAATTTCTGATGAATTCATCATGATGGGCTAACTGGCCTGTTTTCATTCTCATCTATCACCCTTCACTGGTGCTCCGCAAGCATATCCCGTTAGCGCAGGCGGGGCTACCATACCGTTTTCACCCATCAAAAAAAAAACCCACAAACGAGCCCTGTAATCGAGTCTTGCGCTATTGTAAGTTCAAGTAGCTATTTCTTAAATGTTTTATCGTCAAAGGCGACAGGGTTAAAGCGTGGAGAAGATTGCAATTTGCCGGGTGGACATTAAAATGCGGCGCGGAATTTGTGAATATTGGATTGGAATTTATATAACGTGTAAAACCGCGGCTGGTGCACCTATGAAATTGACAGATGCGGCACTTTTTAAATAGATAGATAATTCATTTGCATTACTTACTTACAGCACACAAATTACAACATACATATACAAAAAAAGCGAGATAACATAAATGATAAAAAAAAAATACATAAAGCTAAATACAATTTTCGTTTGTGCGTGTGCCATAACAATACAAAATGGCCACAACTCAGTTTATTGCTTCGCCCTCAAAAGAGCAAAGCACTGATATTCTGTTGCGGCCAAAGGGAATAGGGTAACAATAAAACAATACTACCAGATTATCCGTACAATAAAAAGATAGATATACGGTAAACAGACAGATATGATAGTCTATCTAGCAGATAAATGGAACATAGAGGTAATTTTATTTATTTATTTAAACTTTATTGACCAATAAAATTTCCAGCGCGGTCCCGGTATAGAATAGGCCACCCCTACCTTTCCCGTGGGTGTCGTAAGAGCCGACTAAGGCAGGGCGAAGAATGGCCAATAGCGTTCCTATTAAAACAATTGGCGTGAAATTTCTGGGTACAGAGTAATAACACCTGAGTCCTCAGGAATGGCAACGCATGGGGGGTATCACGGGCGAAACAGTATACTCTGTTATGTCCATGGCACTGCTCATGTCTATAGCGACTGTATATGTCATGGCGACGGTTA